GGAGCGTGAAGAAAGCCTAATGGACCCAAAGTGGAACCGATCATTTTCCACCAATAACGAACTCTCGGGAGAGGAGGAGATCACAGAGACAGTACAACGTACGAGAAAAATTATACGAGGAGGCAGAAAAAATAGGGACAGCTCAGACAGCGAAACACGTCAAGCACAACGAGTAAAATGGTCACTGGAACCGGAACAACAACGAATAGCGGACCAAAGACTGCTCTCATTCTGGCAGCTAATAGGCGGAGAAAACAATGTTCAGGAAAATCGAGAACTGGTGGCCGATACTCAAGAAGTCAGGGACAATGTGGAAGACGAATCAAGTCCAACATCGTCAAAACCGATCGCATCGACAGAACGAAAACTCAGTGAGGTGAATGTATTAGAAGTCGACCTTACAACCACAGAAGAGGCGGAGAGTGAGGAGGAAGTATGCTCAATTCAACCGCCAAAGGGTCTAGGAAAATTAAGACTGCAAAAGCAGCAACAAGTAGAGACTCTGGACAACCTCGCAAAACTGTTCGACAAAAACTTACTAGCAGAACTGACCACAGAAGACACGTGGATGGACCGCCTCAGGAGAGTGATAGAGAGAGGGGACAAACAAGGATTCGAATTGATGGGACCCTATACAAATCCGTTGTGGTCGCAGATGGCAGTTCAGGACGACTGCATCTTAGTCAATAATCGGCTAGCGGTACCAGTTCAACTACGACAAGCTGTCCTCAAACGAATACATCGGGGACACCCAGGACAGGAAGCGATGTTGGGAGCAGCGCAATATCTGTGGTGGCCACACATGAATAAGGACATCGTGAATTTGGCAGAGGAGTGCCGTAGTTGTACCAGATATGGTAAGAATGTTAAATACCTTATTTCGAAAAATTCGTCAAAACCACTACCACTGCTCACGCAGCCGGGACAGGAGGTACAACTAGACTACGCGGGGCCTATAGAAAATCAGAAAGGAAAAAAAATCTATCTTTTAGTAGCTATTGATCGATTCTCAAAATTTCCATCAGTGAAGGTTACAAAATCCACAAGTGGAAAGAGCACAGTAAAATTCTTGAGATCATATATCGACACACATGGAGTCCCTGAATCAATTCGATCGGACCAATTTTCAGGATTTAAGGGAAAAACTCTAAAAAAATTTTGTTCGGAACTTAATATCGAACAAAAATTCTGTCCGGTGGGGGATCACAGAGGTTGTGGGTTGGTTGAACGTACAATTCAAACAATAAAAAGAAGACTGGGAGTGATGATGCTCGATGAAAATAATAAATCAATCAAATTATGTCTCAGTATTATAATGCGAGATTTACGATGGAACAAGCAGAAAACAATTCAAGTATCCCCTTTCCAAGCACATTTCGGCAGACTACCAAAAACAGAATTTAAAATTGTGAGGGATAGGTTTTTAAATAATTCTGATTCTCTAGACAAACAACACTTGGAACGCTCAGCACTGACTGCGTCTCAAATGAAACGGAGGATTGATCAGTCGAGAGAGAATCTCAAGATAGTGCGCAAGGGACAACTGAGCAGGGATACAAGCCCACTGCACAAGCAGCAGATAACATCGGACAGAGACAAAGAAAGAGCCAAAGCCCTAAAGGAATTGTTGGAGGCAAATGCCCGATGGAACTACGAAAGAAGGGATGCAGCTAAAAATGACATCAGGAAATTAGTGGACGAGACAGGTCAACTCAATCCCGATCTTCGTAAAGAAATGATTTACTCTTGGGAAAAAGGATTCGTGGAAGATAAAGTAGAAAACCAATGCAAGTCACCACCCAAGACAATACTTAGAAAGGACCCTCTAAGGAAAAGCGGACAAGCCCTAACCAGACCACTAAAGGGGAAAATAGCTTCAGAAACGGAATCAACAATTAAGACATCGGCCGGTTCGATCTATAGAAAATCGGACATAGCTCAATCAAAAACCGTACTTACTCAAGAAAAACAGAGAAGCACAAGTAAAAGTCCATCGTCGGAACCTACAAGAAAGTTCAAGCGAATCAGTTCTCCAGAACTACTAGAGGAACTGGAATCGGAGGATGAACTCCAAGGAGAAATGGAAATTGCAAATGAAATGAACCCAACAGAGCGCTTTCAGAAGAGCCAAACAATAGTCACTTCTAAGGACACAGAAGCCGGGGGAGGACTGAATCTTGCAATAAAAAGAGCTAAACCAAACCTGGCGGGACCAAAATCAGCAGAGGAAACAAACACGAATAAGCCGGAAAAGAGCGGAAAAGAGAAGAAAAGCCGAAGCAAGCAACAACAGGGAACTAACGCAAACCAAACTGCGACTGCAGTCAACTCGGAACAAGAGCAAGCAATATCTAAGCCGGATTCGGTCAGGGCAGATACCAAAATCCAGTCGAGCTCTACGCCGAAAATCAAACAGCGTCCGAAACTGAAGGGCATTGACGCGCACACCCCTTTGGAAGATATAGTGGAGACGTTTCACAATAGAAATTTGGCACCGTCTGACTGGGAGAAGTACGCGGACCAACTGTTAAAAAGAGGGGTGCAGCGAGTTGCGAATTTGACTTAGAGAAAATCCTCAAAAAGGCTCAGAATTGGATACAAACTTCGAACCACCACAAGGATTCTCGGACGAATCAAGTGCGGAAGAGTCAGGTGTTCGACGAAGTTCTAGACAAACAAAGAACAAAGAACCCAAACGATTCGGAGATCCGATAAAACATTCAATCAAAGAAATATCCGAAATTCTTACAGGAAGAGGTCTTTTAAAGGAGGCACTTAAAGAATACAGAAACCAACTGAGAGATTTCGAAGATCGGGACGACAGACCCTTGGAGTCAAAAGTGCGACGACTCGAAAGACATTTATTTATGCGAAAATTCGGACATGCTACTTTAGATGAAGGAGTAGATTGGAACCCGAGTTGGGAAATTGAGCTGGAGGAAAATTGAAATTTACATAATCCATCTAAAAGACTTTCTTCAGAACTGAGTAAATTGAACTCTTTTAAATAAATTATCCTACTGATGTTGTATAATTTATTTCTTTCACCGAGGGGGGTGTGTCATACCGCTACTGCAGTAGCAGTATTTATTATACGTATGTACAGCCAACCTCTGGTGTTAAATCATTTTTTTATGGTACGCTCAAGGTCATACATAAGTGATGACACTGAGACTAAGTGAGAGATCAGAGTACTTAACAATGATCTATCTCTCAGTACATAAGAAAACAAAGAAAAGAGAAAATCTAAATTCAATATTCAGAATACAGTATTGAATTCCAACTTGTTTTCAATTTGATATCGCATCGCATATCACAATAGTCTATATTGCTTTCGCAACAAAACTCAAAACATCGAAACAGATAAATAATTGCTCGATTTTTGTTAGAGAAATTCGGTAGTGTTACTTTGTTCTATCATTAGCAGCAAATGAATGTGCTCATTTTGTTGGTGGCTGTTTTGCAGCATTATATCTGGTTTGCATTTGCATTAAAAACTTGTTCTTCGGGTTTCTTGGTGACCAGTTCCTCTTTGATAAAAAAACACGTGGCACCAAAAGTTTGCGGATTTAGTTTTTTATTTTTTATGCAGAGATCTTGTTATTTTTTGCTCAAAAAACAATGAACTCACTTTCAAACAAGTGATATAAAGGGAAGAGAGGCTTTTCCTCTGTGTTTTGCCGCCAGTTTTTTCAGATCTCTGTTTTTGTTTGGTTAGACGTTCTACGGTCTGCAAAAATTTGAGCGGCTAGATTTTTTGATTCAATTTTTTTGATGTGTTTTGTCTTGTTCTCAAAAGCTACTCAACTAAATCTAAAATCATGGTATCAATCAGAGTAGCCTGATCTAAAGTTTTCACTGGCACAAATTGCTACGTCCTTATTTTGGTTTTAAAATATCCTGAGAAAATATCCGAAGAAAATATCCAAAATTTGAAATTTCGACGGATTTTTCCTTTTCTATACAAGCTACCCTGCCAAAACTGAGACCAAAGATTCTATCATGAAAAAACAATGTTTGTCAACTTGTCTTTATAATCGGCTCCGTGTAATTTTTATAGAAAAAACCTATTGTTATTCAATTCGTGCATTTTGAATTCTTACCTGTGTTCTGAAGGTCTGAGAAAATAAAAAAAAAAGAATAGTAAAACTTCCCTGTGCAAACGATATGTTCTTCTTTTTTAATGAAAAAAAAGGTTTTTGCTTCTGAAAAAGTACATTGTGAAAATTTTCTGATTTTTGGACACTTTTTGACTGTTTTGTCAACAAATCTAAATTGAGTTCAATAAGAAAAAATCAGCTCTGGAATCTCTTTTTTTCTGGAAAACTACGCCGCCACATCACATCTGAAACTGAAATCAATTAAGAAAACAAATTTGCACTATCCATATTAAATCTGGTGAAAAAAAAAAAAGAAAACTATCTAGCTTGGACTGTTTTCGAAAATATCGGGACGTCTGAAACATTTTATTTTATAAAAAATTATTGCTGTTTTGAAGCGGTTCAATAGGTTTGACACTAATTTTTGTATCGAAGAATCATAGACTGATTCAGCTACGTTGAGCTATCGTCTATCTTTCGTAAATGAGAGAAAAAAACTACAAGCACCTTAATTGCTCAGTTTTGCTAGATTTTTGGTTGCGAAATTGGATATTTTGACCGTGTTTCGCAAACCTACTAAATTTTTTTCAAAAATTAAATAGCCAAATCCGAGATTAATTATTCAATCGAAAGAACAAGCATCAAAAATTTCTTTACATAACGGCTGCTCCCTTATTTTGGAGAGCAGTAGTGTTACAATTCTTAAAAGTTTTTTTTTTAAAAATTGTTGCTTTTGTTAATTATTTGGTTTTACCGAAAACTAGTGCTCAATCTGCTGAATTTTAGTGCTGATTGAATAATGTGGCGGAGCCTTTATTAGTAATGCATCTTCGCTCAAATCTTCACAGAGTTGATGCGTTTTTACCAAATCATGTTTAGTTTTTCAAGTATAACTACAACTGGCTGTACAAAACCGTGCATATTTATAACTCAAAAACAATTATTTTTAATACTCATATTATAACAAATAAATATAACACATCATCGTTGATGATCAAGAACTTGTGAATTTAGTTTATCGAGCCTCTTTCTTTTGAGAGAAGCATCATGGATATTCAATCTTACCGCAGATTATTTTTCTTCTGTCTTTTTCTGTCGCTGCTTGTTTCCATTCTGTATTTTCAGGCCCAAAGTTTGAATCTACAATAACAGTGAACAAAATCGGTGTTTTGGTAATCGAGTCTTTTTGTAACCATTAAGAAACAGTTATACATGTATCTATCCCTTACAACCAGATTTCGGGGATACGAATTTTTTTTTGAATCCTGAAGATTTTTCGTATGGTGGCTTACTGAAAAATAGTGCAGGTTTTATAATTTTCAACAACAACAAACACAAAAAAAAATATTTAGCTTTGGATAACAATCAGACGTTCGAAAATTGATATTGTCTTTCTAACGAATTAGCCGTTTGATTGACCGTGGTTTTTGAGTTCATGAGGGCTGCCCTCTGGCGATTGAAATCCGCTTCAACTTGAAAAACTGACGACAATAGATACTTTTTGCAACTGTTTCACTGTTATTTCCAGTTCCGGCTTATACGTCTGATCCAAATGATTCACCCAGGTTTGTTCTTTTTAGTAAACAATAATGTAATTTATTCTTTGGACTTTCGCATAAACTAAGGGAACATACATGCTCAATTTATTTTTTCCGACTAATTTTGACGCACAAAACAACAGACACTTAAGGGAATCACTGAATCCTTTTCAATTATGTTTCACTCCTGTGGTTTTTGCTGAAGAAAGATCCCAATTTAAACTTCTAGCCACTATAAGTGGCAAATCCCTAGACTTTTGCTTTAAAATTTGGTACAATTTTGGCTTTATGTATGATAAATTGAGCTTTTTCTTCTGATGTTTGTTCACAAAACTTCACGAAAAAGGAAGTAACAATGGTATAGGGTCTTTTTCAAGCCGAGTTTGACTGTCTCAGAAAAAACTCCTGGGGGATCCAGTGAGACATCATATTGAACCATTTCTTTAGTGATTTGTCTTCTAATTTAAGTTTGAAAGACGTTGTCTCAGTTACTTCGCCAAAAATTGGTCTATTTTCGCTTTGTTTTTTGGACTGACAAATTTTTTAGACTGAATTTACCAATCTAAATCTCTGTGATATTACCTGTTTCTTACTTGATTGTTTTTTATTTTTTTTGTCTCAGTAACCTGTAAAATTAAAAAATTAAAAAATTCTCAAAATCGGACCATTTTTTACAAGAATTTGGGTAGATGCTCTTGAATTATCCTGTTACGTTACCGTTTCCACGTTTTGTTCTCTCCAAAAACTTACAATCATTTAAATCAAAAACTCAACATTCTTTTTTATGCTGAAAATATATCATTTTTTAAATCGGGTTGACACGTTAAGTACTAGGCTTCAAGTTTCCATCTACTCACAAAAAATTTTCAATATTGATTTTTTTAGAGAAAATTATACTGTTTTCAGATGTAATAAACCAAAAAAGTTTAATATTGACCCATTTTTCCCAACTCTTGAAAATACTTCTATGTTTCCTTTTTACAAAAATTTCAAAAACCTTATAATCAGAGAGAGCCGTTGATTTGTTTGTTTTTTTTATTTGACCGGAAATTGTAAGCTTTTGCGATTTTTGACAAATTGGTAGCTTTCTGTCCAGTTGAACCTCATTTCGAAAAAATGATTTGCCCCAACTGAATTTAGGATGACAGCTGAGTGGCATGTTTAAGGTACTATTCTCATGCGCGAAGATTCTCAAGCAAACCACGACTTTTTAACTTCTCAAAATTGACTGATTTCATCGTTATTTCTTTCAAAAATACGCTTTTGTGTTTTTTCGCGTTTTAGCAATTACCGGGCTATTTCACCTCCTACTTGTAAAAAAAATTTGATCAAAACCTCATACAAGTAAAATCTACTGCAGAAAAACTGTCGCACTGAGGCTATTTAGGTTGCGAACCCACAGAACCGCATTACAAGATGGCCGAAAATTTAACGGTTTCTCAGTTTCTTGTTAAGGTAATTAGCAACAAAATAAAATACGAATGCTTCCAAAAAATTATTGAAATTAGGGAAAGCTAACAAAAAAATGCCAAGCTAACAAAAACTAACAAACAATCCAAGACTAAACTTAAAAAAAACCTGAGACTTGTCATAGGGCTAAATCAGTTATCTAAGTCCATTTAGTTCTTGATAGTTCTTTTTGTCATTCATTTCATTTCATCTTATTGATAGACATCTTTGGCAGGTGGTTGGCCTTCGAATTGTTTGACACCTTCGGATATCATCTGAAACATTGTCTCGTTTGATCTATATTATAAACAGTTGTCTGTTTCTTTACATCTTAATTCAAGTATCGAATTAGCGTTTTTCACATGGCGCAGCCAACAGGCCCAAGTGGGGGGGGGGGACCCGCTTGGAATAGTATCGTTTTTGCCGGCGAAAAAGGCAAAACCCCCATGCTAAGGGACTTTTGGTTAAATCGCTTCCAGTGGGGAATGGTTGCGGAGCACTCAATAAATCCTAAAAATTGTTACTTCGCGGATACGCTGGACAGTTAGCATCGGAACAAACCTTAGTTTCGAACTTAAACCTTTGCCTGGGGGAGAAGGGACAGGAAGAGTTTCACAAACGAAGACCACAATTGGATTTGAGAGAGTCACGTTACCCGAGTGTACTCGATGCGATGGAGGGAGAATTCAAGAAAGAACGAAATGAAACCTACGATGTGTTTCAGCTTTTATCAAGGAAGCAACAAATCGGGGAGTCAATGGAGCAGTTTTATGCGGTCCTAAGTGGTTTGTGGCAAGTTGTTCATTCGGGGCACTAGAATCGAGAATGTTACCTGGCGTCTTCATTGTCAATATGACAAATCGTGAAGCCCAAAATGAGTTGTGTCGGGCCACCAAAACCGCGAAAGAAGCGTACCGGATAGCTCTATCGTACAAAAGGGGGATAAATACGCCAAAACCTATATTACGACCACAGGCACAGTGTCGAGCAGTACCGGAGGCGGCGGGATTCAAATTAAGACGGAGCCGGTGGGAGTTATTCGAGGTGGATATTGGAGCAATCGGGGAAGAGGATGCGGAGAAACGCAAGGTCGAGGATCGTACCGCGGGGAGGGCATGAACACGAGAGACCGAAGGTGCTACAATTGTGACAAACCCGGGTTCACGAGAGTGCACATAAGAATGTAACCTGTAATTTCTGCCGGAAAATTGGGATTTTCGAATGACCTGTCGGGCCAAAAGAAATAGTGGGGAAGCTCTTCGGAGTTATTCAGGGGCAAGTTAGCCAGGAACGATTCAAACCGGAAGAAACGGAGGACAAAGAATCGCAACATGAAAACTCAGTGGGATGGGTAAACACGGCTTCAGAGAAGCAAAACCGGTCATGGGATTCCGATAGTTCAGGGGTAGATTATATGGTGATGGCTGTACGAACAAAGAACCAAACGGAGTTACGAGTAGCGGAGGCAAAATTTCTTATAAGGATCAACGGGCAAAAAACTAGTGTGTGGATTGACAGTGGGTCACCAATCTCAAAATTTACAAGAGGGTTATTTTTGTCATAGTGCTAAATTATTTATCTAAGTTCATTTAGTTCTTGATAGTTCCTTTTGTCAATCATTTCATTTCATCTCATTGATAGACATCTTGGGCAGGTGGTTGGCCTTCGGATTGTTTGACAACTTCGGATTTCACCTAAGACATTGTCTCGTTTGATTTATATTATAAACAGTTGTCTCTTTCTTTACATTTTAATTTCAAGTATTGAATTAGCGTTTTTCACAGACTAAAATCATTTTTTTTACAATCGTTTTGCTTTCATGGAAATAGATAGCAATAAAAGTGCGACTTCTTCGACACGAAAAGTTCTTTTCGGATAATTGGGAACGCTATTTGTTACGGTTACCCAGGAAATTTTTTGCGGCTATCCGATATCAAAACTGTTTTTCGATTATCCGTGAACAATTTTTAAATAAATGCTTTGAGATGGAAGCGGAGAACACGCGCCAAAAACTATACAAAACTTCGATTTACTGCTTTTTTTCAAATGCTTTTGTCGCAAAAATTTTCATGAAAATCTTCCACGCGTTTTGGGTAGCTCGAATTTATTTGATGCAATGGAAAAAATTCAATAGAACTTTCGACTTTTTAAAAGCAATCCTTTTCTTCCATTTTAAAGTTATTGCTTCTTTCGGGTCTATAAATTACCTGGGGCGGGAGTCTTTGTAGTAAAAAGCTTTGTCATATATAATACAAGAATTTAATAATTTTCGCGATTGTTTTTGGCTTTGAGCGAATCGAATTTTTTGGCTATCCGAGTATTTGGCTCCGTGACAAATACTTGGATCAATGACAACTAGAAATAAGTTATAATATCAAATTTTTCTTATATTTTTCAGTTCAAGGCGTCATTATCTTTGAAAGTGTGTACAAAATGTTTTCAGAAATTGTTACTTAGAGCCGGAGTTTGTCATGAGATAAAACGCAGATGATACGTCAATTTCTTCGGCAGTTGGAACAATAATAGTTTATTTTGTCTCTGAAAGAAGCTTTGTCGGAAGAACAGTTTCTGGATCTTTTCTGAAAAAAAAACACCTTGAGGATATCAATCTCATCACTCAAAGTTGAAAATTATTTTTATCTTTGGAATATGTTGTCGAAGTTACGAATATTTCAGTAACATTGAGGTGAATTAAATTCTGTAATTTTTCCAGTCCTCTATAAAACTAGTCGAAAAGAAGTAGTTGCAATTACTTTCGGGAAAATAGTGGCAATTGAATATCGCCTAAAATAGCTAAATGATAGGTGTTTATTTGGATATTTAACACATTAGAAGTTTAATGTGAGACACTTTTGTAGAAAAATTTATTCTTTCTCGAACGGAAAACGCTATCATAAGATTCTTCCAAAAGATCTCTATGCCCGCTTCATTCCCTAAATGCTCTTCGTATGTACGATTTGTTTTTCAGCTACGCTGTAACACCAAGGAAATTTATGGGACATAATGATCTAAGAGGGGGACAAGCGCCCCGAGAGAAATTTACGATCATTCGCTTCATGCACTCAAGATTGAAGTCGATGAGCCAGGAAACTGAGCCTCCCAATGACGTGACTGAGTTCTGCCAAGTGCCCTATGACTGCATAGTGTACAGTGATTTGAATAAATATTTGCCTATTTCGGAGCTTCATAACTTTTCGGCTGCTCTTGTTGGAGGTAAATTGTTTATTTTTGAATACGAAACAGTGTGATTCGATATTATATAAAGTTTTTGATTGATATATATTTTAGTATATGATAATCTTGTGTATATTTGAGTATGTTTTAATCAGAATCGTTTTGTATCAAAATTCTGGCTCTTTCCTATTCTCAGGGGCGGACTTGGAGGGGGGAAGGGGGGGGGGGGGGGGGGTAGGCTCTTTGTACTGTTTCGTGATATCCATTTTTGGCTGACTGACCGTAAAATTTTGAGGGGGAGCGCGCGCCGAAAACAACGCTATTTTTTGGTCAAAATTTTCTAAAAAGTGTCTTAAAACGCTTTTTTTGACCTTATTTTTCAAAATTTTGCCTACGGCGCAGAAAATTTGGGCATCATTTTTAGTGCTTTGAGAGAGCTCGGAAAATCAATTTGATTGAACTAAAAAAAAGGTCGACAAATTTTCGAAAATTTTTTGAAAATCCTATCTCCCCCCTCGAGAAATTCTTAGATCCACCCCTACCTATACTAGATGCCCAGTCTTGACTTCTGTTTTATTGGGGCTATAGTTCACTTGAAAGCACTTGAAAGAACAAAGACTGTTTGCAGGTCCAGGCAAAAAGAGAAGCGAAGTGTTCCTGAGGTCAATGGGAATTGACGTAGATCACCGTCCCAGAGGTCAGTACTGGATATCCTTGGATAGTGAGAGTGCAATCAATCCAGGAGTGAGATCATCAATCACGCCTTACACTCAAACTAATATCAACTGGACTGCTACTCACGGAGACAATGTCACATTTTATTTCGGAGGCACAAACACTGAAAAACTAAAAACACCAACACCTCCTCACCAAGTTGAAAATGAGGCCAGAAAGTTTTTCAACAACAAGACTAAGTTGGTTTGTTGGGCGATGAGTAATTGCGGGCTGACTTGGACGAATAGGAACCAGTTGGCGATTGACCTGATTAAAAATATGCCGTCAGATGACAGTTTTCATTTTTTCGGAAGTGGAACCTCCTGTTTGGCACAAGCGAAGGGACGATTCGTTGAGCATGGTAAGGTTGCAGGTAAGGTTTCTTTGAGTAGATAAAATCTATCAGATTTGAGAATCTAAGAAATTATACTAAATTTAAAAGAAACAATATCCATTATAAATTGTTTACTGTACCAAGATTGTAAAATGCTGTATAGTTTGGAACAAAAGCATAATTTAAAAAAGAATACATCAAAAGTTCGGGGGCTAGGAAATAAGACGACAAGCAAATTAGACGACCGTAAAGAAACGGAATTTACGGACAACCAGTATTTACTCAACCAAAAGTTAATCTAAGTCTGCAAACAAAGTTCACGCAATTTGCACGCTAGTTATTGTCTAAGTTCCGTTATTTTCTGATCGTCTAATTTCTTGTCGTCTAAGTTTCTAAGCCCCCAAAAGTTCTTAACACTTGTCTACCAACGCACAAATATAGGTCTAAAATTCTGTCTTGTGTTTTTTACGAATAGCATTCAAAAGTAGTACTCGACTTGGCTCAAACAATGATTGATATTGGTGATGTTTGATTAATTGAGAAAATTGCTGTGATATCAAATAGTTTTGAAAGAAAATCAATAATCTGAAAGACTATTCTGTACTTTTTTGTCTTTTTGCCAATCATCAAGGCAAACAAGTAGGCCTACAAGCTGAAATCAAGGACTGTTTCTTCTATCTTTCGTTTGAAAACTCCAATTGTTCACATTACATCACGGAGAAGTTCGGAAATGGTTTGGGAGGGCACGCCGTTCCTATCGTAAATGGATGGAGACAAAGCTACCAGGAGTTATTGCCAGGTTAGTACCTTTATATGTTAGCCTTTATCAATTGTTATACTTCTAATATTTAGAAACTCGGCTGTTTGAACGAGTTATTCTTAGAATAATTTCACTTAAGCCTCCATGCCTAACTTTTACAAAGGATAATACAAAGCAAATATTAGTTTTGGGCTTCTTTAGAAGTGGGAAGCAGCTCATATAAAGTACCGATCAGAAAACCATCTGACGAGATAAAATTTTCCCTTTTTTATATCATGTAGGGTTATCCGCTCAAAATTAACGTACAACGGAACACGAATTTTGCGTCCTTTCCCTTCATCTCATGCATTGTTTGCGTTGAAAAGTTACCTGCAACAACTCAATGAATTTAATTTCATCATTTTTTGATAAGATGTTTGATTAGATTTGTGAGGAAAGTACTAGAAAATATATTCTCTGGATGGATTTTGTTTTTCAGACCAATTCTTTTACACAACATTCGACCAATTTCCAAAACATCTGAATGCTATCGACTACTTGATTTCATAAAAAAAGAAAAAAGCTTTATTGGGGGCTACCATTCGGGGGTTTAAAAAATTAAATTGGGGGCTACCAGTCATTTCCTCCCCAAAAACAGTCAGTTCTTGAAAAGTTTTGCTTTTGGGGCGGAAATGAGTGGGTTTTTGGAATGGAAATGACAGGGGCGGAAATTTCTGGTATCAAGAATTAGAACCCGCTAAAAATGAAACAAGGTCTAAAAACGAAACAAAGTATTGATGATACTGAGAGCAAACATCAACTGAAAAAACGCAATTACTAACACAAGCTATTTTAATCAATGTTAAAAATTTAATTGCAGTCTGTTATAAGTTACAAAGAACAAAGTGAGAGAAAAATTTTGTTACGCTGATGACTCATTTGGTTGAAATTCAAGCAAATAACTCCGAAAAACATACTATGTGGCGTCTTTAAAACTGATAACAGCACCAGTAGAGCGCAAGGAGCCGAGCTGATCAAGCTAGTTAGGACTGTTGAATTCAAATCTTAAAGAGACCCAGACTTCTTTACATGAGAATATGGAAAAGCAAAAAGCACAATTGATTTAGTTATGCAAATTATGATGAAGCAGTTGAGGTTTTTTCAAAGTAGTGTTACTGATCATCATGGTGTTTCAGTTTAAAAAATACATTGTAAGAATAAGAAGTGAAAAAGAATTAGTTAGCAAGAAAAAAGTGGAGGCTTTCTGAGCATCCAGAAATTCTGATAGTTTTCAATTGCAATTTGCACGAGCTGAAAACTGATGCCGAATAAAAAGTTAGAAATTGAATTTTGGAAGCAAAATTTTTTCACTTAGCAGATTTTTTATATATCTTTTGCCCGAGAATAAATCAGTTAAGGGGCTTTTTCTATATCAAATGAAATAATAAAAAAGAAAGCGTGTGGAAACGCAATATTTTGATATCACATCTAATATAGAATACAGAAGAATTTATGCCTCAAAAAGCAAACCCAAAAAATATTCAAGTTGATTCGTTAGCAAAAGAAATGTTTTTGAAGTAGACTTTCGTACCAAAAACTGAGAAACATTCAAAAACTTTCAAAACAAAGAAAGTAGCATAGAGGAGACTCCTGCAAAAGATACCCACCCAAGTTGATGATTATTTTGAAACTTTTTAAATCACATCAACTACAGCATACAGGAAACTAGAACAATCGAAATTACTGCTCAAAAAAAAACTCATGAATAACAAAAATCGTGACAAAAACAAATCTTTTATGAAAGAAACGTTGCTACCAAAAATCACAAGAAATTCATTTTTTTCGACTGGGTTCAAGAACTGGGAAAAAATGCAACAAGAAGACTCGTGCAGATGCTAATAAAGTCAAGTTGACGGCTAATGATCTTGTTGAAGCTTATACATCAATCAGATCATTTTTGCTGCTGGTTTTAAAGAAGAAAACAAACAAAGACAAGACTGCTCGTATCAGGGCGAAGCCCTGAATGTTCTGACTGCCTTTTAAGGTTTATGGAGCAGTAATAACTTGAAAAATTTAAATGTAATAAAACAAAATTAAATTTTTTTTTCTAAAATTTGAAACTTTTTTAATGAAAATCATCACGCCACACGCCATATAAAATACAAAAGGATAGATTTCTTTCCTTGTAACAAATCAATTATGGCAAATAAGCTTCTTTCAACAAATTTGGAACGATTTCTAAGACGGAATAAATCTCCGCTTACGCGTTAATAGCTCGAATTATATCGCCCGTTAATTGTCCCAAATTGGTTAAAATGGCCAAAATGGCAACCTTTAAACCCTCATAACTTTACAAAAAATGGTCACAGGTAAAATATTTTTTCAATTTTAAGCTCAGGACAACAATACCTTTTGAATGATATAAGAAAATTCTGTCAAAAATGGCTAGTTAAAAAGTCGAAATTTGTCTGAAGAAAAAAAAACCCACCCCGAGCACAAATTTTCCGTTACTTTCGTATCGAAAGTCGGAACAATAATTATGGCTTGTTAAATTATTTGAACAAAGTGTCAATTTTGTTCAAGTAATTTGCTGTCTGTTAAAATTTTTTCAATTGAATATAGAAAAAAAATTCCGGTTTCATTATGTTAAACTGATTTGTTCACTTTCACTCACTGCTAGAATGCAAAACTCAGAAAAAAAGAACATACCTAGAGTTTTTGTTATAAACTGTTACCTATTTGAACCAAAAATTTCATTTTTTTTTTGTTTTCCACTCTGCTCATGAAATGAATTGTAATATTTTCTAAACATATATGAAAAAATTATGAGTAGAATAATTTGCCACGCCTATTTTTCTGCACTGTTTTTTCACTATCATATATTAAAGTTTTCAAAACGCCCATAAATTAGTTCAGAACAAGGCTAAATTTGCAATTGTTGAATATTCTCGAAAAACGGTCGCAGGCAAAATGTTTGTGAAATTGAAATTAGAAGAGAGGCTTTTTTGGGAAAAAATGCGCTTAAAGGCTTCAAACAGTGTAATATTACGAAGAAACTTTTTTCCAGCCTTGTTTGCTGAGGTTTGTTTTAACCTTTTCTTTTTCTTTGTTTTACTGGTTTTACGCATAATCAGAGTCAGATTTTTGCCGTTTTTTATCTTTTGTTTGATGAGTGCGGCTTCATGTTTGAGTTTGCAGCGTGAGAGAAAATCAGCAGAAAAACTGCGTTTACTCTAGTTTTGTCAATTTTTGCAACAGCCTAATGCCTAAAAGTACGCTTGATATAGTTCAATTTTCCCAACGGAAAATTTTAGTGACACTTTTGGGAACATGTAGAGTTTCTGTATGGTAGGATTATCTTAGTCTAATTGCTAGAGTGCAATATTCTGAAAAAGAAACAACATACTTAGAATTAATTGATTAAAAATTTAAGCGTTTCTATACCAAATACTGCTGTAATTTTATCCATGAGCAGTTGAAAACGCAAAAACTAAATTGACAAAAATTTCCCTTATATGTGTAATGCAAACTACGAGAGGACCTAAAATTTTTTGACTTTTTTTGCATCGGTTGAAAATTTTTGGAAATTTTTTCTTTGAGCTGAATGAATGAGTAACTGATGATTTCATTCATTAAAACAGACAAAAATTTTATTTAGATTTGTTTCAGCCTAATTGAGGCATTTTGAGTTAGTTGCTTTGAAGGAGATTCAAGTGATTTGAAAGGTCATCAACAAAAGCAAGTTTTCAAATGCTTAATTTCAAATGATTAGTCTAAAGAGAAATTTCAAAGTTTTGATCAAAAAAGAACATTAATTTGTTTTGCTTTTTCCGCGTGGTTTTTTCTCAAGCAAATTTTTTGGCAATTCATTTTGTGCGTTTCTGAAAACTCTTTGATCAACTTTTTTGTCGTTGAAAAAACTAAAATTGATAAATTTATTGAGAATATAAACTCGTGTATCAAGGAAACGACAAAATTGTTCCGGCTATGTTTTAGTTTGTCTGGATCAGTTAGAAAAACTATAACTTTGAGGTTGCCGAAATCAAACTCTAATTTTTGAAATTTGAAATATACAGGAAAACAGAAGAACCAACTAACTTGCCTCAATCGGCATTGGAACGAATTTGAGTAGGATAACTCGCCACGCAGGCTTTAATTAGTATAAAAACGCGCATAATTCAACCAAAAAAAAAAACAAAAAAGGGTGAGTTGGATATTTTCAAACCTCCGAAAGTTCTCGAAAAGCTTTTGATACATTTGAACTCAGTCTTTTTGTTGGGTTGTAACTTACTTTACTTACAGTAGGGAAGCGTAGTGTAGTACTGCGAAGCACGTTTTTCCAACTTTACCAATTTCTGTGCCGATAAATGTTAATTTGGAGGGGGAGCGCGCGTCAAAAAAAACGCAATTTTTTGTCTACATTTTTCAAAAAGTATCTAAAAACGCTTCTTTGGCTGTTTTTTTTTAAATTTGGCAGCGGCGCAGAAAATTTGGTGAAAATTGGGTTTTTATAGTGACTTAAGAGAGTTAAGAAAATTAATGTAGTCGATTTAAAAAAAAACGGCATTATATTTTTTTGAAAATCCCCCCTCCGGGAATTTCTTAGATCCACCCCTGCTTAGCATGGTTGCTGTCATTTTCTACTAAATCTTTGGCCTTTTTAATCAATTTTATAGTATTCGAGAACTAATAATGGTTGTCTTCTGAGGGAGAATCAAAACCCTGAATGTTGCGAAAAGTCTTTTTAGTTTTAAAAAGTAATTTTTGGAAAACAATTTCGATTTAATCTCTACAATTCAGTAAAACTTATCGTTCCGACTTTCGATACAAAAGTAACGGAATAATTGTGCTCGGGTGGTTTTTTTTTCTTCAGACAAATTTCGACTTTTTAACTAGCCATTTTTGAAGGAATTTTTTCATATCGTTCGAAAGCTATTGTTGTCCTGAGCTTAAATTAAAAAAAAATTTTTCACCTGTGACTATTTTGCGTAAAGTTATGGGGGTTTAAAGACTGCCATTTCGGCCAATTTGGGACATTTAACTCTCGATATATTTCGCATATTTAACGCCTAAGCGGAGATTCAATCCGTCTTAGAAATCGCTCCAAATTGATTGAAAGAAGCTTATATGCCATAATTGGTTTGTTACAAGGAGCAAAATCTATTGATTTGTACTTTGTATGGCGTGTGGGGAGATGATTTTCATAGAAAAAAAAATCAAAATTTAGAAAAAAAATTTCCTTTTCTTTTATTTAATTTAATTTTTTTTTGTTTAAAATATTACTGCTCCATAAACCTTAAAGGCAGTCGGAACATTCAGGGCTTCGCCCTGATACGAGCAGTCTTGTTTGTTTTGTTTTGCTTTTTGATAGATAATTTTTCCCATACATCAAGAGAACTCTTTATTTTCCAATAACTCTAAAAAATGATTGCAGGCAATTTTGTGTTAGCTTTGAAATTAAAGCATTGTTATATTTCAGGTGGGAAAAATACTTTGAAAGGTCATTCAACAAATTGAAATTGATCCGAAGAAATTAAATACCGCCTGGTTGTGCGTTTTGATATTTTTTCAAACAGTAGATGAACGAGTTAAGCGACACAGATTTTGTTCCAAAATTTTCAGTTCTGGTTTTATTTTTAAGGTTCCTTCATCCACGCAAAAGATTTTCCTAGTGGCAAAGAGTTAAGCGAGTACCTGCAGTATCTGAGCAAGAATTTCGAAGCGTACTTCGAGTACCACAAGTGGAGACAGTCATATAGAATTAATGGGGCTGACCAGTGGAGCACTCTTTATTGCCAAATATGTCGGAAGCTGAAGGAAGAAAAAGATGACGGATATCGACGTCAATACAGGGTGCCAGACCTCAAAAAATTCTATACCAATTTTCAAACTTGCAAACGCGACTGAAGCGAGTCTTGGCTGTCATGATGTTGCTTTGATGTTCAAAAGTTTTAATCGCGTTCAATCTTTGCAATTTTAATCTTTCGATCATTTGATCATTGAAATTAAAAAAGTATTTGAGCTAGCCGCAGAAATCATCAATTAGACAAACACAAACTGTGGTTTTTGCAAATACACAAGTCCCTAATCCACAATAATTTCGGGAATTTTCCTCGCTCATATCAGGACTTGCAGTACTTTTTAAGTGGCTGGGTAACAATTATTAGCTCAAACTATGCCAGCCAAACAGACATAACATATTAATTTATTGTTCCGACTTTCTTAACGAAAGTTACGGAATGTTTGTGCTCGGGGTGATTTTATTTTTTTTCAGACAAATTTCGACTTTTTAACTAGCCATTTTTGACAGAATTTTTATTTCATACAAAAAGTATTGATGTCCTGAGCTTAAAATTTAAAAGACTTTTCACCTGTGATTGTTGATTGTTTTTGGAAAGTTATATGGGCTTAAGGATTGCCATTTTGGCCAATTTCGGACAATTAAAGCGCGATATATTTCGCGATAGTAACGCGTAAGCGGAGATTTAATCCGTCTTAGCAATCGTTCCAAACTGGTTCAAGGAAGCTTATATGCCATAATTGATTTGTTAATAGTAGCAAAATTCATCACTTTGAACTTAATATGGCGTGTGAGGGGATGTTTTTTTTCTGAAAACTTTAATGTTTTTTTATTTCATTTAAATTTTTCCTTTTTTTATAATAGACCTTCAAAGGCAGTCGGAACATTCAGATCTTCGTCCTGATACAAGCAATATATCTTGTTTTTTTCTGTCGTTTAAAACGTTTACGGCTTTCTTATTGCACGCGCGGAATTATGCTTGAAGTCGCTTCAATATAATACTGACTGCGCTCAATTTGAATAAAACACAAAATTTTGTTGAATTGGATTAAATATGACGAAAGATGATGAAAACAAAAGTTGCCTAGTTTCTGGAAATATAATAGTGCGAATAGTTTTGCTCAATTGACTCTGGCGAATCACGAGCAGACGGGTCTGATCTAGACAGTGAACCTAATAAAAAACAAAACAAGCAAAATTGCCTATTAAGTTCATTGTCTAGATCAGAGCTGTCTCCTTGTCATTCACATTTGTTTGTTTTTGGGGTCCGTTCGCTGGATTAAGCAAAATTAGACGGAAACCTTAGGGTAGTTTAAAATCTGGTTTCAAAAAACTGTCTCTCCTCATCGCAACAAATTCCGAGTAAGAAGTAATTTCATAAAAGACTCAAAATCAATTGCGGCAAAATTAAAAAGCGGAAAAAAATGTCACTCAGGCAAAGTTCAAAAACAGTGTTATTGTACCGATTTTCGAAAAAAACGGAATATTTATGTTCAGTGTGGTTGTTGCTTTTTGTTCAGTCAATTTTATCCGATCGAAATAAAGTTTTCAATAAAATTTTTTTACTCCATTAAAGATATCGACTTCCTTCAAATTTAAAAAGATGTTTCCGCTTCGATTATTTTTTGTTAAGTTCTGGGAGTTTGAAAATTGCCAAATAGGCCATGTTCTGGACTAAATTATGCGCGCTTTGAAGAATTCATTCATAATGCTGAGAGCGTATTCCGCACAACAAAATCGTTCCTAATTGAATTGAGGCTAGCTAATTGGTCGTATTAATTTCGTACGACTCAAAATTTCACCCTTTGATTTTGTTCAAAGTGTATAGCTTTTCAATCTTTTCTTTTCCAAAAAACTATTCAATATTGGTTGAGGGACAGTCGGAACATTCATGGCTTGGCCCTGATATACGAGCAGACTTGTTACATATCAGTGACATTGTTCAATTCTGTATTTTTTAGATGTTTACCCAATTAAACGATATTTGAACGAATAAAAGCTGATTTTCGCTTTCCTTTTTGATCAAAATAGTCCAAAAGTTATTATTTTTTGAGGCTATAATTTGTATTTTTATAGGCCTGGTTTTTTCTAATTTTTTTGACAGAATTTATCCAACCTTTTATTTTGCCATTGAAATTTATCTTACTGATTTATTGAAATAACAAGTCTGTGTTGCTTATGAATCTAGAGAGCTAATTAACAGCTACTCACTTCCTGTTAATTGCAAGTTTTGGGACATAAGTCTGAAAATTGAAAGTTAGACAATTTTAATTTTTTGTTCGACAATGAGACAACTTTTTCAGTTTTTTGTCATTTGAATCATAATATTAGCGCTGTGAAACGATATAATGCATGTGTAAAGTGGCATGGTTGGAACAAAAGATTACAAAGCTATCAAAATCTTAAAAACTTGTCTGATGTCTCAATTGAGCTGATCATAGCTTAGCTTATTAATGAGGTAAGAGAAATGAAAAATCGGATTATTTTACAAGAACTTTCATACCCGGGTTGAGGTGCTCGACTCATGATTCGACTAACACCGTTTTCGATTTTTTTCAGTCGAACGATGTCCGATTTCGACTTTTTGAGTCGAACGATGTCCGTTTCCGACTTTGTTTGACTTTACCGGACATTGTTCGACTTCATTCGAATTTGCTCGACTTTGTTCTAGTATACCGGACTTTTTTTTGCTTTTACCGGGTATAAGCTTTGCTCGTGCGGCTTCAAGAATCCAATTGAATTCATCATATGGTATTTATTGTAGCACTTGATAAGTCTAATTTTTGGAAGGGACCCGGGTCGAGGTCGCGGACTTATGTTGCAACCATTGCAACTCAAAATGTGTGTCTTGCTACCATTGTGATTCAAATTGGGTATGTTGCGACCAGTGCGACTCAAAATGGGTATGTTGCAACTTTGAGCGACCGAAACAACTTTAAGCGATTTTGTGCAACCCAAACAAGATATGTTGCTACTTTGCGCGACTCATGATTCGACCCTGTTCGATTCTATCGACCCTGTTCGACTTCTGATTCGACCCGGTTCGACCCATGATTCGACCCTGTTCGACTCATGATTCAACCCTGTTCGACCCATGACTCCACCCTGTTCGACTCATAATTCGACCCTATTCGACTCATGATTCGACCGTGTTCGACTCATAATTCGACCCTATTCGACTCATGATTCGACCGTGTTCGACTCATGATTCGACCGTGTTCGACTCATGATTCGACCGTGTTCGACTCATGATTCGACCCTCTTCGACCCATGATTCGACCCTGTTCGACTCATGTTTCGATCCTGTTCGACTCATGATTCGACTCATGTTTCGACTTTGTTCGAGTAAAGTGTTCGTTCGACCGTCTTAATTTGCGACGAAAATCAGACTTCGTTCGACCATGTCGGTCGAATATGAGTCGAACACCTCAGCCCCGGTACGCAGTATTTGGCTTGAAACTTACTTTTTTTAGGCCAAGTCTGCAGCAAGAGAAAGAAACTGTCAATTTTTAGCCACAAAACATGTTCATTAATCCTTTGAATAATTTTTTTTACTGTTTAGATGATATCTAGGAACAGACTTAATTTAATTTTGGTCAATTATAACCATTTCATGTAATCAACGAATGGTTATCTTGATTTTAGTTGTTTTTGTTGCATTATGTTATGAAATCAAAGGTGGCAAAAACAAGGGTGAAAGAAGAAAAAAAAATTCCAGGTGTTTCGAAAATGGCGCTGCCTTTTGATGTTCCCAAATTTTAAACTTATTTTCGAAAAAAGCTTCAAATGACTGTAGCTCCGTATTAAATTTGTTTCATTTGAATCTTTTAAATCAGTATTATTTAAAATATTTTTGAAAGTTTTGCAACAAAACTTTTGTTTTTGACAGGGATGTTAAACTCTAATGCTAGCTCTTCTGTGATTTAAAGTAACCACAATTATTAATTAACCCTCCTGCGTTTCTTACTGAGGTGTTTCTTCTATGAACGCGCAACACATTTGCTGTTACTGCAAGAGTGACTGTTTATTCCGGCTCGTAATTTCTTCTCGATTAGTTTAAGGAAATGTATGTGGAACTATCAATATTTCAATAGATTCAGATCACTTACTACATAAAATAGCGGATGGGGGGAATAATTTCGAAAAATTAATCTCAAAAGCAAAAAGCATCTTATTAACTTTTTTTCAGGTTTTTATTTGAACTTTTTTTTTGTAAGTTTTAGATTTTGAAAGGATGACTGATTCCTAGAGCCTTGCAGTCTTGTTTGAATTTTATCCTGACTATATCACAGGTTTGACACCCTGAGCTTTCAATGCATTCTTGAATTCACCCGCACCGGAGTTCCATGGATAATAATCGATTATAATGGATAATATTTGTCTAAAATGTTGTCACTATCATCCATTATTGATGCAAATTGAGACCACGAAATCGATTAAAATGTCATTATAAGCGATTTTTTTTCGTAAAAACACAATCCATTAAAATCTATTGCAATAATCAGATGGGAAATTGTTGAACAACCCTCCTACATTTCTTACTGAGGAGTTTCTTCTATGAACATGTATATCAAATTAGGAGCATATTGGATTTAGCTTTCTGTAACGAGTTGACTCGTTCTGGCTTGGGTTAAAAAACGAGAATGATTCACGAGAATCCTGAAAGTAAAGTTTTGTGTTTTGAATTCGGTAGCGTTGCACGATTAAGTGGGCTCTCTTCCAAACTTTTGGCGCAGAACGTTGGAAGTGAATTAAGCAGCGCTCAAATCTTCTCAAACCGAATTGAAGCAACTGGAACCAATTGTTCTTACAACTCTTTAGTAGTTGTAAATTAAATCAGCATAACTTGAAACTAAATGACAAATAGACATTTTTTAAAGAGAAAAGTTTAAGTACTGTGCAACCAAGAGTTGTCGTTAAAATTTAAAAATAAATGTTTGTGAAGTTTTCAAAAAACAATGGCTGTTTGACTTTATAGTTGAATCAATTGTCCGTAAAACTCCTTACTAGATGCACATTGAATCAATATAACCTGAAACTAAAAGATAAACTGGACATTTTTTAGCGGAAAAGAAACGGTGATGTTCAACCAAGTGTTGTCTTAAATATTTAGAAACTGCTTTTCGTGAGTTTTTCAAAAAAAAATTAGATAGTTTAGATTTATTAGGCATATTATTTTCTCTGATACCCCACTTTTGCATTAAGAACTGCTTCTGTAACTTTACTGTGCAATATGACTATTGAAGATTTCAAAATGGTCCAAACAAAAGTGTTAAAAAAAGTTTCATCTTTGAGGAAAAATCAAATACGTGATGTGATTTCTTTCAAAAAACTTTTCCATGAAAGTTCGACTTTGCATTATGAGCACGAGAATTTTGAAGACGAAACACGTGGTCGGAACACTCCAAACGAGAAAAATCTACTATTCAAAACTCATTCATCATTTCAATCTTTTCAAAAACTCGCAAAGATTTTAGAAATTATTTTTGTACAATTCGAATAAAGAAATACCAGCAAAAACAGTTTTGACACAATGCTGGCCTAGAACCTACGTGTTGTTTTGCGAAAAATAAATTAAATTCCATAAATTCACACAAAAGTTAGTGCTTGATCAAAATAGTTTCCCTAATTTGGACGAAAAAGTAACCTCATAATTGGAAAACCGAAAAAATTGCGCAAAATGAACCAAATATTGTTTCCAGACGCATAAGATAGCAATATATAGATAGCTACACTTTTTGACCTGATAGCAAAATAACTCTAAGGTGTATATTTATAGTTTTTTTGCAAAGCAAGGAAGGGCTGGTTGAACTAATATTCGTCTGTTAAAGAGTTTATCTATAGCCAAATATTTCAAGTCCATGGGCGGATCTATGATTTTCTTGAGGGGGAGGGTGGAATTTCAATTGAGAAAACGATAATTTTGTCAAACTTTTTTAAGTTATCAGGGGACCCTATGGTTGGTGAGAGAGTCAAATCCCTGAGCTCATCCACCCCCCCCCCCCCCTAATCCGCCCCTGTTCATGTTTGCATGTAAATTTTTGTCAGGATTTTTTGAAGTGCTTCCTAGAAAACTCAGATAGTTGCATAATTCAATTTTGTAGCAGCAAGATATTGGTATTCAAGATTCTAGCAACCGAGATCATTATCTTTGATTGCGATTTAGACAAATTGAAATTTGTTTTTACCTTGCGTCGAAAAGAGGGAGTCCCACTCTTTAACCCCACGTTGATTAACCCCCAATTTTTACACCCCATACTTTATAACCCCGTAACAAGAAAATCCCACAACAATTTAAACCCTTTTTTTACCAATAATTTATTTCAAAATGGATCCTTTTTATAACGACGGGAGTATTCCAATTACATGTACTAATTGAGGCCTGAAAAATCATTCTAAATTCACCTGATGCCTCTAGCATCTCAAAACAATTGCCTTTCAAGTAGTTAGGGGAATAATCCCTCATTCACGCGTTTAAAATAGAGATAACGCGTCCTTCATTTTATTTTATCTTCTAAAGACAAACAAATTTTAGTGGTATCAGGCCATGAGTATTATCTTAAATGTAAGAACAAAACCGCTATGAGCTGGAACTGCTCAATATACCCGACTCATATATGCCGAGCAATAGCATTTAGGAGGACGAAAATTTTATTGAAACAAGGGGTGAGCATAATCATGTCATAATTACGGGAAAACAAATCAACCTTTCATAGCAGCCCTAAAAAAGTTAACCCCTGACAGTAGACCTGAAACAATTTTGCTGGATTTCGAGCAGGCCGCTCTTCAAGCGTTTCGAAAAAACTTCCAAGAATCCAAGCTGTCTGGATGATTTTTCTTAAAGTTTTAAAAGAAAAATTGCGGGACTCGGCTTTGAAAAAGGAGTTCAAAACAAACCAAGACTTTGCATTAGCTCTTAAAATGTTCCCTCACCGGCTTTCGAGAAAAAGAAACAGGAATTTCGTAAATTTCGTACAATAAAAAAGTCAAAGAATTTCAAATAGCATGCGATCGCTCCATAAACCATAAAAGAGTCGGAAAAATTTAAAAGTTGACGAGCTCTGCCTGTATTTCCGATCTAATTACATAAAATTTTGCGTCCCGACTCAAGAAACTCTGTTCCCATCTTCACTATGGAACCAAAAAGATGCGGCAACATCCCGTTTGCCAAAAAAAAACAAATACTCTAGAGGGCTGGCATCATGGCATAGAGTCACATTTCAGTGGTTCACACCCCAGTATTTGGAAATTAATCGCATACTTGCAAAAAGACGCCTCCCTACCAAAATTAGTTTCTTTACCGCCTCGAGCGGGCATCAATTCACAAAAAAGTACCGAGTTCTAAACAAAAAAGGGCAGAACATTTTGCAGGTTTTTGAAATGACAACTGATTTGCATTTCTTTCGCGTCATGATGATTTTAGCTAAAAATTTGTTCAGTCGTTTTTTGAATATATTTCAAAATCAAAATGTTTTTTATCAATTTTTTTGAAAAAAAACGTCTCCTTGCAGCCCCTGGAGATGTAGGAAACGCATTGGTCTGACTCGTGTTTGAGAGATGCCGTCTGTAGCAATTTAATCCCGGAACAAGGTGGGACGCTAGGTTGGGAGCAGGGGTCGGCAAATTCTTTAGATATTGCGTTGTATGCCGATATTTGAAAAAACAATGGCTAATTTTAGTTATTTGGAAAAATGAGATAAAATGTACTCAAAAAAGGTCGGAATTTGAAAAAAAAACTTAGATTAGATCGATCAAAGTTTTGGTCACAACCAGTTTTCATCCCATAATTTATTCAAGTTCAGCCAATTAATCTATGATCAGGAAGATTACTTTCAAGATCAAGTTTAATTTTGGTAGAATCTAATCATTTTTGTTTCATAATTTGAATCATGTCGATCGAATTAGTTTTTAATTTCATATCAAAACCTAGACTATCGGCAAGGTCTTTTCTGTTCAAATCTAAACCGAATTTAGCAGCTTGCATGTTATTTCGTTTTGTTTCGCAAAAACTTGCGCAATTAAAGCTGTGAAGTTTAACGACACTATAGTTCCGAATTCGTATCAAGTAAATTTCACTTTGATTCATCACATTTAATAACAATTGGTATTAAAAAGGAGTTAAAATGTAGTGGTGTTTTTCAATTCTGGGGTGATATGAGAGGGGGTTAAGAAAACAGGGCTGAAAATAGGCGGGATTATAAGCTTGAGAACCCGAAAAAATATCTGAATTTTTATCAAAACGTTATAAAAAAAATGAGATTATCCTATTTTCGAAGCTAAGTGATTTTTCTGCAGAAATTAAAAAATAAATTAGAGATTATGGAATAAAAATGTTTCTCCATTTATTTGGAAAAATCTTGATTAGATATTTAGAAAAGTAAGTTTTAAGACTTGAACTTATATCCAAAATTTTCAATATTGAGTTTAACTTTTTGATTCCAATAAATATCAATTCTGTTTGCATTCATTCACAAGAAAATTGCTCCCGCGAAATAAGTAAAATATGTTTAAGAATTTTATTCATTGAGAGCAAATACTTAATTCTTGAAACTTTTTGTAAGAATATTGGTTGTTGTACCCGATAAAAACTTCTATATACATTACGGTAATTTCAAAATTTTCTTGTTGCGACTAACAGGCTGATTTAAAAGCAAAGTAATAACACTAAATTGCTGATTTAGAAAAATTATTGCATTTGAATTCGATTACAAAAATAGAACTCTAAAATGGAAATTATTGTTTTTATCATTTAAGTTTTTGGGCTGTTTGGGCTATCACAGTTCTTCTTCATATTCGAGAAAAAGATTCTTCAAGTTTTTTAACTTGCGCTTTATAAGTTTCATCGTCCGGGTTTTCCGAACACTTTTGCTCGTTGTTCGGTTGAATTTGGGTCTGAACTGCGCGCCAATCCATCTTACAAATAACATACGGCATGTAATCTAACTTTTCGTTGTACTCCGAATTTCGGTCGGGCGAAACTAATTCGTACCCTCCGGCCGCGCCGCCCCGCGTGATCAAAGCCAAGTCGTTGTCGTAACAGCAAACACGAGATGCCAGATTTCTCGGGTCACTGTACCACGCGAGGGTCCGAACACATTTCCCGACTCCGTAGCTGTCTCGGCCGTAATTTTCAATGACGTCAGCAGCTTCTCGCCACTTGAACGACTCGTTCCGAATCGGGTCGTGTAGTTCGTAGTCAGGGTTTACAATTGCATTTATTGGGTACGAGCAAGGACACGAAGGCAAGTCGGGAATTTTCCGTCTTACGTAATCGGTTCGTATTTTCAAGTCGCACGTCAACCATGTAATACACTCGTCAGGCAAGTTTTGAAAACTGAATCCAAATTTTTCCTCCAACTCGTCTCGTTTTTTGTTCATTTCTTCTTGTTCGATTTCTAAAGTTTCATTTGTAGTCGGAATATCTAACGGAAAACCAGAAGTTCTATCGAAGAATCGAGCCAAAATTACGAAAAAAATCGCTGGCAAACTGATAAAAGCGTTCAAATTTTCCATAATTTTGCAACAATTCTGCTAAAGTTTATTGGCAAGTTGGTAAGTTTAAACTAGCTGCAGTTAATGTCAAAGTTGACTGAATGAAGATTTACGTATTGGTGTTAAAAAATGTTTGACAGCTTAGCAAAATTGAGAATTAAAGGATTTGTTGATTTAGTATCAAAGAATGAGATTATTTTTGATATTGGTCGCATGTTCTAGCTACGACGCACTTTACTTTTTAAGTATTAGCGTGAAAAAATAAGAAAAGAAAAAAAAAAGAGTTTACTATTTGTACATTTTTATTCAAATTCGATTGCTAATTTAGGATCTAAAGAATTCGAAACGTGAACTGTGTTTTGATAAAGAGGTTATAATGTAAAAGTGGCTTGTTTGATGTTATAACACATTACAATTAGTTGTCTTTGAAGTTCAAGAGTCACCTTGATTGAATAAAATATCTAAAATATCAGCACTTTAGCCCCAAACTGCCTATAAAGAATACAAAGAGCACCTCAAAAGCACAGGCCGCCTTTGGATCATTTTCGCAACTCGGATCCAAACTGGCAACTTTCAACTAATACCCCAATGGTATAAAATGTTCACGCTTGCACGCTCGTCAACATCAGAATTTTCAACGAGCACCCGTCAAAATAAACTTCTCCACTTTTTCCAAGTATGCCCTAGCTTAATATGACCCAATTAAATGTTATCTTCTCTGCTCAAATTGAACTGAACTCGAAAAGTTTATAGGCCTCAAACAGGAAATCTAGAATCCCTTCAAAGAAGCCAGACTTCGTTTTAATCTGCACTTTTACGTCAGTCTAAAATGTCCGCCAAACGGATCAAATTTGAAGACGATATTGGCTTCCAAAAATAAATTCAATCAAATTTTGCTCAGTTCACTTCAAACTATCATAAATTGATCAGAATGTAATGATAAGCTTGCAAAATCTTAATTACAGTAAGTCTATATACATGAAATCATATATACATTTTACAAGCCGGACATTTGATTGGTTACACTGTATATTTTTTTTAGTTCTAATTAGTTCTCCTTGAAAAATAATATTTTAATATCAGCCAAAGAGATTTTCGGCTCTATGCCCCGACCTCCACACTTCTGGCTCGAACACCTGGCTGCATACCTCCAAATTTGGCTACTTTTTTCAACGCGGCGTCCAAAATGGCATATTCCTCCTCGTTAAAAGTGTACTTCGGTTTCGTGTACGTCGTTCGATGCACAGTGTTGAAGTCGTGATTTCCATCTTTTTGAATCGCTTTCTGCTCGGGAATGTACGCTTCCGTCTTTTTGTACGGTTTAGGTGTGAACACTCGACCTGTGGTAGTTTCGCCGAAGAACTCGCCCTGCATCGGAATCTGAGCCGAGTACTCCTTGAAGTCGCCGAAGCGTTCTCGGGTCTGGACGGGCCACGGGACGTAGAACTCGTCATTCATGGTGCGAGCCTCAAATTTGGGCAGTTTTCCTCGTTCGTGGATGTCAGCTCGCTTCGGAGGGTTATAGGCAAGGGAGAGTTCTCTTCGTGGAAACGATTCCTGAAAAGAAAAACATACAAACTTTTTTCATATTTTTCTCACTTGTTAAAAGTAAGGCCATTGGCTAGTCTAATAATGGCTAATTAGAGTAACGATTTACGAGCTTTTCACATATAGGTCTTTACGCACAATTTCGAAATTGTTAGCCTAAATAAGATTTTTAATGAAGGTCGAGATTTTAAGGTGAATTTAATGGTTCTTAATTGGAAAAAAAAACTTTTTTCTGAATAATAAAAAGTGCGAGAAAAACGAAAAACCGAAAATATTTTACTTGGATTTTTCAGAACCGATACCAAGATCCTAGATCTGTTTTTGGGCCTATGTAAGTGAAAGGGAAAAAAAGATTGACCTTGACCTCTTCTCCGCCCATTAGGCCTTGACCTTTGAACTGACCTTGGTGACGGTGACCCCTTCGACTTTCTCCGTGGGGGCGTTGTACTCTTGGATGTCATATCTGATCTCCTGAGGGCGCTTGTGTTTGGTCACGTCAAATCCTTTGTAAGAATCCCGCTGCCAAGTCTCGTAATGACCCCTAAGGAGTGTCAAAAAAATGAAGCCATCGAAATTTGTGGCCTTGTGGCGCTCCGGTAGTGATAAAGCCCATAAATCATTTGATTGCTAGTTCAAATCGCTCGGATTTTTTTGCTTTTGACCGAAAAAAAAACATAGCCACCAGACAGTTGGAAAAGAGTCAATGAACGCATGTAAACAGAAAAAGTAAATACTGACTTGTTTTTTTTTGAAAAAACTTTAAAAAAAAACAGATGCTTTTAAAGCTCTTCGAATTTCTAGAACAATATTTGATTAGCACTTTTTCGATAAAATTAACTAACTTTGAGAAAACTGGATCAATAAATTAAATTTTTATTTCGCTGGGAAATCTGAAAATTAAATTCCACTTTCAAAAAAAGGAGTCAATAAAGTTGTTCGTGACTTTTACAGTTTTGATGTTCGATAACTGAGTTTGTCTTCCTTTCAACAAAAGAAACTAACTGAACTCACAAAAAAAGAGAAGTCAAACCGCGAGAAAGTAAATCTGAGACTGAACGAATTTTAAGTTTTTCCTGAAAAGAAAAAACGAAAAAATCTTCACGACCTATTATATAAAAGAATCTGAACTACGTTCACCGACTCTTAAAAAGAATCCATTGGCCAAAAAGTAAAATATACTTTCTTATTACTACTTAGATAGTGTAATATAAGATATAAGAGGTAGATAAGAGAGTATTTGACTGACTTGGCGTCTGGATTGATGCCGATGTTGTTGGGCTGGGGGAGCATGGGACCCCTGTTGAATCTGGAGGTGGCGTCCTTCTTATTCTCCTTGTAGTCCGACATGTATTTGGTCACCCCGTAGAACGCCCCACGAGTGTCTGCGCTCGGAATCTAACAAACACACACACACATTCACATTTATAGCAATTACTAATTATTTGTGACAGAAGTTAGTAGTCAAAAGTTAATAAATTGTCAATTTATCAACAAGAAATTATAATCATGCAGTCAAATCCAACGCTTTTTTAAAAATCATTTTTCAGAAGTTTTTCTTGGACGCTTTGAGATTCTACGATTCAGTTTAAGCCACTTGTCAGTCAATAAAAATTGTACATAAATTTAAATTACAATTAAGATATCACTATTTTGACCAATATTTTGACATCGAGAAACGGTTTGAATTCAATCATTTCTGTATTAGATTTAACGACAGTTAGATGAAAAGGTTTTCACAAAAGCGAAAATGCATACTTTGACGACTGGCTTGTAGTTAAGGGTCTTGGGTTCCTTGCCGATTGTGGACTTGTAGGTCGCTTTGTTCACGGTTTGATGGTCATACTCTCCTGGAAAAAGTTAAGCCGTCATTTAAAAAGCGGTCAAATAATCAACGAAGGATGAATACTGGATAATCAACATAGAAAAATGAAAAAAAAAAACACTTATTGTTCAATTTGCACGGAATGTTCCGACAACAGTAATATTCGCAAAAAAAAAACTGCAACAAATTTAAAAAAAAAATTCAAATAAAATTCAGTGAGCAGGGGAAAAGTTAAGTCGTAAGTCATATATTTGTGTCCATTTATTTGTTCAAAAAACTAGGTAAAGTTACGTACGCAAGCAGACATCGATTCAAATTCAATCACAAAAAGTTCGATAAAGTTGCTGTCTTTTTAAAATTATTCTAAGCAAGTAAATGCTACAAAATTAGAGCGTAAAATAACAAAAAAGAGTCTGAAAATCATCCAAAATTTTAAAATGCTATTTTTTATACACATAATGATTTTTTGCATAATTTTAAATGCAATAAGAAAATGTGATTGAACTTAGCTGACCTTCAGTGCCTAGCTTGACAGTAGGCTGTGCCATTTTCACGGGGTCTGGCTTGGGTGCATACTTGCCCGGGAACTGCTGCTTTGTCTCACTTATTTCGTTCAGGGGTTCCCCTTTAGGGAAAATGATGTCGTCTGAAATTACAAGACGCAAAACTGAAATTAGATAATTTGGTCAATAATATTTAGACGTACAAATCAGTATGTGAGACAAATATAAGTTAAGAATATCTATAAGTACAAATTATCTGGTATGTGTCTGTATATATAACATTTTCTCATTAAGTGATTAAATTTTTCTAGGCCAATAAAAATTTGTCACGCTCTATAAAATAACTAAACAATCCTCGCAAATAATTCAAACTCCATTTTACTTTTTATCAGATAATTTTTAAGTAACTCTCGAGAAAAAAATGATTTTCATTATATCAACTTCCGTGTTATTGTTTGATGACTGTAAACATGTTATTCAACTGGGGGTTTCAAAAACGACATTAACTGGACACATGAACACAGGCTTAATTTTTATCCGGAAAAAAACTTGATTAATTTGTCAACCAAACTGTAATTGTCAACTTTTACTAAATGATCAAATCATAGACGCTGCTTCTTCAATAAAGATCTGGAGATTTATTATTTCTTTCCAGCTAACTCTTAAGGGATACCCAAATCGAAAACAAACTCTCGAACTGCTATAAGATTTTCCTCCAATACAGGAAAAGACAAAATTCCAATCCATACACCTATCAACAGAAAACTTACCTTATGCAAATCCTGCATAATGAAAGCATTCTGGTATACAATTCCTGTTTTTGGTGCCCTAACTTTTTAACACTAAGGATGAATGGTGAAACAACAAAGAGCAATGGATAATTGAAATTGACACCACAACCCATCACTTTAAATTACCACTCGAAAGGTTAAAAATGTTGCCTATTGACTTTCAACTAATTTCCACTGACGCTTTTATAATCGCTAAACTGTTACATGGATCATACGATATCAAAATTGATATTTATGTGACTGTCACCGCTGGTGCATCTAAAACTCGGAATGAACAATTTCTGAAACTGGCAGTTGTGAGGTCACGCGAGTTCTCCTTCGACAAAAATATTTTCAAAAAGCCACTGATGCTTTCAATTTTCTCCTACCGAACACAGATTTTGACTGTGCTGACCCTGTTAAGAAAATGAAACAGATCTTATATAAACAACTTTTTGTCGCCTAGACGTATACTACATAGACAACATCTGCTCTCACAGACTCAAAAACTTTGACATGCCGCTATGGTTCCGACCATTGAAAATGGGGAGGAACTATGTATTCTGGTGTGTTTTACTTTTTTTTTCACGCAAAATCAGATACCACAAACAATTGTCAGAACGTGTCGAGCGATATTTCATATTTAAGTCCTTTCAGTCCTGGTTTGAATGACATTGCATAAAGTTGTCCAAGTATCGTGACAAACTGGTTTTGAAAATTTTGAGATTTAATGTAATTTCGAGCGACCACCGCACTTTATATTTTTTTTTCATTTTTTCAGATTTTTAGGTTAAAAAACTTTTCTAAACAAAACTAGTTTTGAATGGTTCAGTTCACTCTTACTCGGCAGAAAAAAAATGTTCGAAAAAAACTGAAATTGCAAAAAGTAAGAAGTTTTTAGAAAAATTTTGAAACTAGAAATTTGAAGTTTTCGAATTTTTTTCATTTTTTGTTTGTTTTTCAATTTTGCAGACAATATTGTCGAGTATGCCTAGATCATTATCTTTTCTATTTATTTTTTCATAGTTTTCGAATCACACCACTTACTAAAAGCGACACTAATTTGAAAAAAAAAAATAAAACAAAAAAAATTTACATTTTTTTAATGAAAATGTTCGGAATATTCTGTGCCACTGGCACAGCAACCGGCTATCCTTATTAGTATTTTGATTGTGTTACATTTTTTAGCCCCCGTGTTATGTTATTCCTAAGGAGATAAATTAAATCTTTCTCCCTCTCCTTCCCCCTGCAAGTTACGTAAACCTTGGATTAACAACGTAATACTTGGATGCCTACCCAGTTTTGGTGATACCCTGGAATATTTTTACCGGAGAAAACCGATTGCTGCCCGTTCAACTTTTTTCCAGACAGAGGCAAAGCTTATTTTTGCACAACTTGTGATACAAAAACGAAAAATTAAGATCAAAAACGAAAACAACCCATCACTTTAAATTACCACTCGAAAGGTTAAAAATGTTGCCTATTGACTTTCAACTAATTTCCACTGACGCTTTTATAATCGCTCAACTGTTACATGGATCATATGATATCAAAGTTGATATTTATGTGACTGTCACCGCTGGTGCATCTAAAACTCGGAATGAACAATTTCTGAAACTGGCAGTTGTGAGGTCACGCGAGTTCTCCTTCGACAAAAATATTTTCAAAAAGCCACTGATGCTTTCAATTTTCTCCTACCGAACACAGATTTTGACTGTGCTGACCCTGTTAAGAAAATGAAACAGATCTTATATAAACAACTTTTTGTCGCCTAGACGTATACTACATAGACAACATCTGCTCTCACAGACTCAAAAACTTTGACATGCCGCTATGGTTCCGACCATTGAAAATGGGGAGGAACTATGTATTCTGGTGTGTTTTACTTTTTTTTTCACGCAAAATCAGATACCACAAACAATTGTCAGAACGTGTCGAGCGATATTTCATATTTAAGTCCTTTCAGTCCTGGTTTGAATGACATTGCATAAAGTTGTCCAAGTATCGTGACAAACTGGTTTTGAAAATTTTGAGATTTAATGTAATTTCGAGCGACCACCGCACTTTATATTTTTTTTTTCATTTTTTCAGATTTTTAGGTTAAAAAACTTTTCTAAACAAAACTAGTTTTGAATGGTTCAGTTCACTCTTACTCGGCAGAAAAAAAATGTTCGAAAAAAACTGAAATTGCAAAAAGTAAGAAGTTTTTAGAAAAATTTTGAAACTAGAAATTTGAAGTTTTCGAATTTTTTTCATTTTTTGTTTGTTTTTCAATTTTGCAGACAATATTGTCGAGTATGCCTAGATCATTATCTTTTCTATTTATTTTTTCATAGTTTTCGAATCACACCACTTACTAAAAGCGACACTAATTTGAAAAAAAAAATAAAACAAAAAAAATTTACATTTTTTTAATGAAAATGTTCGGAATATTCTGTGCCACTGGCACAGCAACCGGCTATCCTTATTAGTATTTTGATTGTGTTACATTTTTTAGCCCCCGTGTTATGTTATTCCTAAGGAGATAAATTAAATCTTTCTCCCTCTCCTTCCCCCTGCAAGTTACGTAAACCTTGGATTAACAACGTAATACTTGGATGCCTACCCAGTTTTGGTGATACCCTGGAATATTTTTACCGGAGAAAACCGATTGCTGCCCGTTCAACTTTTTTCCAGACAGAGGCAAAGCTTATTTTTGCACAACTTGTGATACAAAAACGAAAAATTAAGATTAAAAACAAATGAAAAGACATAAAAAAATTCAAAAAAATGTTTTTTTTTCTTCAAAAACTGAACAAAAAACCCTGGAACAAAATTAGCTGAACCATAAGAAACGGGGCTTCTGACGGGGGAATTCTGGAAATTAAGTAGTGCAGAGTAAGATCTTCCACTAAATGAAAAGACAATATTGCATTTTATACACCTATCAATAACAAACTTACTGTAGACAAATCCTGCATATTGAAAGCATTGTAGCGAACGATTTGTTTCTGGTGCCCTAACTTTTTAACACTAACTTTTGTGCATCTAAACTCGACATGAACAACTTCTGAAACTGGCAGTCAGGAGATCAGGCGAGTTCTTCTTCGACAAAAAATAATATTTTCAAAAAAGCCACTGATGCTTTCAGTTTTCACAGATATAAAAATGGGTCTTCGACAATCCGTTATGGGTCCGACCATTGAAACTGGAGAGAAACTTTGTATTCTGCTGTTTTTTTCACGCAAAACCAGATATCAGTCAGAAAATGTTGACTTATATATCATATTCAAGCCTTTTCAGTTGTGGTACCTGATTTTGCGTGAACAAAAGACTAAAACACTTCAATGGTCGGAACAAAAGATTTTCAATGATCGGAACAATTAGTTCTGAAGCTAGAGAACAACTTAAGTTTCCCAACCCACTAAAAGTTCTTGATTTTAACATTTTATGAAGAACTAAAAAAGATAGACGGTTACTCTGCAAGTAGCATAGAGCACAGAATGTTCCGACCATAATCCGAAAATAAGTTTTTTTTTCTGCGTGGTTTGATGAAAAGATCTGAAACAAAAAATTCAAAAGTTTCAGCAATTTCAACGTTCATAGTGAAATGGGCAAACTGGAAATTTGTTTTTCCACAAAAATGTCAAAAAAAATTTCATTGAAAAAATTAATGAAATTTTTTCATATTTTTTTGCAGGATTTTAAAAAAAATTTCAAAAGTTTTTAGCTACACTTTTTTATTCGCAAAGTGTAGCTAAAACGCTCCAAAAGCTAACTTTAGTCGGATTAAACTAAAATTTCAGGGCTTAATTTAAGTATAAATAAACGATTGTAGTTTTCACTGCATAAATAAAACTGCTCACTTGATTTTTGCCCTCGCCACTGTAAAAATAATTGGGAAAATTTTTAAGGTCGTTCAAATCACGAACGAACTGGTGGATTTCGTAACTATTTTTCCCCTTTTGTATAAGGGGGAGATCCGTTACTAGGTACAAAATTTTCAAAGTGAAAGATACCCGAACGGTCTTTTATATGATATATCACTCACCCAGTCCGATGATTATTCGTGGTGCCTGATTTTGCGTGGAAAACAAAAAACTATAACACACGTGAATACAAAGTTAGGCTCTCTTTAATTATTCCCCCAACCCCTCGGGTACCTAGTAACGAATCTCCCCATTTAAAGAAATAAATAAATAAACGAGAACTTTGTACCGAGTAACATCACCCCTTCTGCAAAAGCGGGAAATAGTTAAAGAGATCCCAAAAGTCCTCCTCATTTTTCAAATGGCTGGAACAAAAAGAGCTTATCTAATGCTAAGACTCTGAATTATTTTACTATGAAAAAAGCAGTTGAATTGAATTTCATGGCTAATTGATACACTGCATATAATCTTGATTTTCAGTTCATTGTTGTTCCGACCATTGAAAATGGGGAGGGACTTTGTATTCGAGTGTTTTAATTTTTTTTCTTTTTTTTTCAACTTTTTTGTTCTCCACGCAAAATCAGGAAACAGAAATAATCATCGGACAAGGTCGAGTGATATATCATATTAAAGCCCTTGCAGCCATGATTCGAACGACATTACCAATTTGAAGTGTCAAGCAAAACCAATTGGAATTTTGGATTTTTTAGTCTATTCTAGAGCGTACAAAGCAATCGCGCAGGAGTATAATTGGCTTTTTCTTGAAAAAAGATGAGACTATTCAAGCTCTGAAAATTTAAATTTGCTCTAGTTAAATGAGTTTTTAAAGTTTTTCATAGCATTTTGAATGAAAATTTCTGCAAAAAAATCTAAAACAACGTTAAAAATAGTTTCAATTTTTGTATCCTAATTTTTCTCTATTGTATTTTTTGAAAATTACTCTGAGTTACTACAGTTTTTGTATTTTACTATGATGGTCGAATATGCCTAAGTCCCGGGTTTTCGTTCAGATCCTTTTTCACTGAACAAACAAAAAAGGCGCTTATTTGAAAACAATATTTAACAAAGAACATGGTCTGAACATGTTTTGGAATAAGCTGCCGAAAAGTGTTAATTTTTGATTATTTTTGCTACCGTCACAGGACAAAAAACCGCAACTTTTTCATCGAAGCAGATTCTTTTTGGAGGCTTGAATTGGACAATCAAGCATAACTAGTAACGTAGGTGATCTTACATTAAGAAGACGCTGCACACAAATACGCCAATTGCATTCTGATGAAAATATTTCGCACAAACTCGAGCAGTTCAATTTATACGTTTTAACTCTCTCTCTCTCTCTCTATCCCTCATTTGTCGTCTTAATGCCATGTCGTCTTAATGTAATGTCGTCTTATTTATCTAGCACCCTCGATTTTAATGTTTTTTGTGCGTAAATTTATGTTAATAGTTTCTCGTTATCACAATGGTTGAAAGTTTCGCACTTGAAACGCACTTTATAGATGTAATAATCTTTAATGTCATACGAGATCTTGAGGATGATAAACTTGGAATGGTGGAATCCCTGAAATATGAAATTTGTCCCAATTCGGCGGTGGTCAGTGACAATTTGAATATTTTGCATATTTCTGCCGTTTTTATATTCGGCCAATATCAATACTCAGTCCCTGGAAATGTTTTTTTTTCTCCAAATTTTAGATTACTGAAATCTGATTGGCTGATTTTTGTTTTCGCGCATTCGGACCTTCGCGTATGAGGGATTCAGTTATGTTTTGTTACCACATATGCTTGAAAAACACTGCATATTTTAGCGCATATACGTTTAAAAAGGAAAGCGCGTATTTAGGAAAAGTTACCGCATAAAACCGGAGCATAAGTTACCGCATAGTTACCGTTTAAAGCCATAGAATTGATTTCTGAGAAATACAAATCAAGTATTAGCTAGGATACTTTTTGCTGACTGATGTACTGTTTCTGCATTTCTGAAAAAATAGTCAAAAACAAACGCTTATTTTAGATTAGTTACTTTCGTACAATTTGCCAGAAATAGTTAGTTAACTTAAATCCGGGGCCTGTTGTGACCGTTTGTAAAAAATGGGAGTGAAAGGACTTCAATCTTACATGGAGAAAGACTGCGGCGGCGGCGGAGTATTCTTCGAGGTAAACATCAAAAAAATAGTGGAACAGTTTTCACGTGGTACCATTCATACTTCGGATTCAAAACCACCGTTGATTTTGGTTGATGCTTGCTGCGCGTATCGTCGTATTTACAGCAAGGGTAACTTGACTGGTGTATACGGATGTCAGTATGCTGAGCACGAGAGAATGATTGTTCAATTGGTAGAATCACTTAGAAAAACAGGAGCTGAGCCAATTTTCTTTTTCGATGGACCTGTCATGGCTCAGAAGCGAAACGAATGGTTCAATCGAAAAATACAACTTTACGATGATATTCAAGACACGATGACTAAAATTTGGGAAGGGGAATACGACAACGAGAACCCCGATTGTTTCTACTTTCCTGCGGGAATGAACATGTTTGAGAGATACGTTCTGTCCCAAATCTGCAAGTGCAAAGTTGTTGTCACTTTGGAAGAGTGCGACGAAGAAATTGCTGTTTATGCTAAGGAAAATTCAAACGTAGTTGCTATATTGTCACAGGATAGCGACTTTGTCATTTACAACGCCGCCAACTACTATCTGTCTGCAGAGCATTTGAACTTGGCAGAACTCACCACCAAAGCATACAGCAGTGTTCGACTGGCAGAAAAACACATACTTGACCCATATTGGCTACCTGTGCTGGCCACTTTACTCGGAAATGACCTTCTACTTAAAGAGCATCTTAAAGCCTTCCATCTTCGAATCACTCACTGGAGCCGGCCCGGTTATCCCAGACACCATTTACTAATCCCTGCAGTAGCCAAAGTTATCAATGGGAAGCTAAAAAAGGGAATGAGCGTTGATGAAATAAGTCGCATTTTGAACTCGGAGGTGTTCGGAGTTAAAGCGATAGAAAAAACGCGGAAATCCATCAAAATATCTTTGCAAACTTACTTATTCGACAACGCCCAATTAATTAAGCAAGATAAAACATTGAGTGAAGGATCCCAACAGCTACTTGATGCGTTTATGTCAAGCAAGAGTGTTGAGCCTCTCACTTTGGAGATCTTAGTGCACTCATCGATAAGTTTCGACACTGCGTTTGAGGATCCCAATTCTGGACTGAAGCAAACTGTGTTAATATACCGAGATATAATCTCAAGATACTGTGGCGTACTCCTCAAACACGAGGAGAAGAAACCTGAGAGAAAAACAGTTGCTGAATTCGCAATTTATTCAGAACATCCAGTCAAACAGGGTACTGAGGTTCCTGTAGTTTTTCCTCCCTTCGACGTGGACTTATTTGCGCTTTTTACATCTACAGAAGCTGATTTCAAATCTTTAAGAGTTAAAACATTACTTTGGGCCATAACAGGATGTGAACATTTCAATACGACTTTCTTCTCAGACGCAGAAGAATTGCTACAGAAAATGAAGCCCGACTATGTTATTCCGTCTCTTGTCTTATATTTTTTGCACTGTGGGAAAAAGATCATTAACAAAACAGTAGTTGATTGGTTTATAAGGATGTTCATAGTACTTGATCTGGGACTTTGCACAGATAGTTCCGAGCCCCAACGCTGTGCCGACTACGATGCCATCCAAGTATGCACTTTGTTCGAACGTGGTGTAGACACAGTGGCATGTCTAGTTTCAGTGTTAGGGCCGCTTTTTCCTCCAAGTGTGTTCGCTCGTTCAAACAACTTTGACGGGGTTATGTTCCAAAAAATCTTCAAGGGAGAACATTGCTTAGATAAATTGCTCAAAAATGAACAAGCCAAAGTCCTCATTTCTCCCATTTTGGATTTCTTGAAACTGAAGCTCACATAGTTTCAAACACGATTCCTGATATTTCTAGATTTAAACATGTCATATAAGAAAGCAAATCATATATACGGAAAGATACATGTGATTCGTTTAAATAATACTAGCGTGTAACGCACCTCCGGTGCTTCGAATTTATGACAGTCATAAAAAACGGTATATATTGGAGAAAATATTTGCATCCTTTGAGTGTCCTCTGACAGGGTTGGCAATTACAGGGTTGGCAATTTCAAATTTTGTAAAGTTAGTCAAGTTTATTTCAATTCAAGTTTTGAAAAACCATACAATTTTGTGATTTTTTATCAAAGTTTGTTGAAAATTTTTAAAATGACAGAAAAACCTCACATCTCGGAAACTAAAAGCAATTGAGCAGTCAAATTTGGGCGCAAGATTTGCAACTTCTGAGGGTACTGACAGTAGTCAACTACAGGGTCGAGAACTTCGAATTTTGAGAAAATTCAAATTGAAATTTTCTGATTATATTTTTGAAAAACCTTAGGCTTTCTGAATTTAAATTAAATTTAGGTTTTCTGAATTTTCTTTTGAAAAACTCATTAAAGGGTCATATCTCGAAAACTGCGAGGATTTAAGCAGTCAAATTTAAAGGAAAAACTTGCAACCCCTAGGAGTGCCCTGATAAAGCCTCACTACAGAGATGGGAACATAAGAAAATTTATAAAATCTTTGAACAACAAAAAAAAAACACAACAAATGTCACATCTCAGAAACTGAAAGCATTGGAGCAGTCGCATTGGAACGCAAAATTTGCAACACGAAACTCCTGACAGTACCCTTACAAAACCCAACTACAAGGTTGAGAAATTCAAATCTTTTGAACTTTTTAATATCCAAGTGTTCTGAAAAACTAAAAAGATATCATAAAACACGTCATATCTCGAAAACTACAAGGAATTGAGCAGTCAAATTTGAAGACAAGATACACAACCCCAGAGACCCTGAGAGTACTCTGACAGCCGCCATAACAAAAATATCAAATTTTGAAGAAAAATAAATTTAGGTTTTCTGAAAAAATCACAGAAAACGTCATATCTCGAAAAGTACAAGGATTTGAGCAGTCATATTTAAAGGCAAGGCTATTCGCTACCCCTGAGAGCAACATCTGAGTTTCCAAATACATGATTGAGATCTTTAAAACTTTTGATTTTTTTAAGTCTGTTTTTTTGAAAATTTTTTTTCAAAAAATCATAAGAAACGTCAAATCTCGAAAACTACAAGGAATTGAGGAGTGAATTTTGGAGGCAAAATTCCCCACCCCTGAGAATACCCTCGCTTCAAAATTTCAAATTGTGTGAAATTTTTTGAAGTCACGTTTTCTAGAAATTTTTGAAAAATCTCGAAAATTGCCGTATCTCGTAAACTAAAAAGATTTGGTTACTGATTTATGGAGGCCAAAATCGCAACAATTGGTGAAGCCCTGGCAGCATCCAAATATTGGGTTGCTAATTTCAAACTTGGTGAAATAACACTGAATTCAAATTAGAAAATCGAAAAATCTTAACCATTGCAATATACGATATAGCTTAAACGTGAAAAAATTCTTTTGTTAAACATGCAAAAAATAATGCGTTTAAAAAGCTAAAACATGGCGAGCATTTAAATATATAATAGATTATTTAAATTTATTCTCCAGAAATAGGTTTTCTCTCAACGGAAATTCCTCTCTACAAACACAAAAACGAGTTTAAACATCGCCATGGTTGAAATTCGGCGTTTTTGAACTTGAACTTTTCTTCAAAATAATATGCCTAATTTCGTTTGGCAAAAATCATATAATTGAATCGTTTAAAAGAGACGAAAAATCAAATATTTAGACTGTCCAATGTTTTATACATTCAAAATGCGTATACTATGAAATTTGTCTAAATACTTAACAAGACTACTCGTATCTGGGCGAAGAGAATGTTCCGACTGCCTTTTAAGGTCTATCGTGCTGTAATAACATAAAAAAATTAAATGTAATAAAATGAAATGTTTGAAATTCTTTATGAAAATCATCCCCCCACACGCCTTATAAAGTACAAAAGAATAGATTTCGCTCCTTGTATATATATTATGGTAAATACGCTTCTTTCAACCAATTTGGAACGATTTCTAAGACGGAATAAACCTCCGCTCACGCGTTAATAGCGCGAAATATATAGCGCGTTATTTGTCCCAAATTGGCAATCTTTAAACCCCCATAACTGTACGAAAAATGATCACAGGTGAAATATTTTTTCAAATTTAAGCGCAGGACAACAATAGCTTTCGATTGATATAAAAAAATTCCGTCAAAAATGGCTAGTTAAAAAGTCGAAATTTGTCTGAAGAAAAAACCCAACCCGAGCACGAATATTCAGTTATTTTTGTATCAAAATTCGGAACAATAAAATAACACAAAGGCGAAGCGGATCTTCGCACCACTTCGCGATACAATACAAGAAAACCAGTACGTCGAAAAAATTATCACACAAATTCCGAAAATGTCCAAAAACCTAGATTTATCAAAATGTATGAAGCTGGCTTTCAATTCAAACATTGCTTACACATTTGAATGTAAAGTTAGCATCAGAAAAAACTTTAGCAAATGGTAACAAAGTTGAAAACATGAGCGGAAACCCTTTAAGCCGGAAAAAAACTTCAAAGACTTAAAAACAAATGTTTCCACATTCCCCTCCCCTCAAACACACACTTACATGAAAGTTGTTTCTCTCTCAACAAACGACGCAATATGAGGCTTTTAAGCCGATATAGTATAGGCCAAAACTTATTAGGCTGGATTAAAGCAAAAAAAAATAGAAGCAAAACAAATTTAGTTCGTAAATTACAACCAACATACAAACTAAATTTCAACACAGGCAAAGCTGCAGCCTCGCAAATACGAGCGAGAAAGCAGAAAAACTTCAGGAGCTTTATAATGCACTAAAGCAGAAAAAAAATAGAAGCAAAACTAATTTAGTTGGTAAATTACAACCAACATACAAACTAGATTTCAAAACAAGCAAAACTGCAGCCTCGCAAATACGAGGGAGAAAGCGGAAAAAATTCAGGAGCTTTATAATGCACAAAACTCAAACTTTGCATGTAAAAATTTTGCAAGTTAGAATGTATTAAAAACAAATTGCGTATAAAATATGCATTTCAAAAACCTAGCAAAGTAATTCGAGTTGGAATATTTTTGAAGTGGGATTTAAATTATTATATCGTTCCATGAAACGCATAGATTTTTTTGGTTCAATTGATGAATTAAAAAAGGATCAACTGTGTTAGCTTATTACTAATCAAATGTCAAAACACTTGGGATTCTAATACTAATGTAGCCTACTGATTCAAAAGTGTCGCAGAAATGATAAAATTAGTTGCATGGCTTGGAGAAACACCAGTTTAGAAAAACGTAGAAAAAAATGTACAAAAAGTTTGCAAAAGAATTTGAAGCTGCTTAACATGATACAAAGTTTGGAATGAGTTTTTTGTCCTCAGATGGTTTACTATCGAACCCTGAAATAATACACGAATTGTTGAAGGATCTATACTGATCGAGGGTCGACTTGCCGAGGATCTGTACCCATTGAAAGGTCTACTTGCAGAGGAGAAAAAAAGCTCTAATGATTTTTACTGGTTCGAACCTTTTATGATGACTAATAACCGAAGAAGTCCACGGTAACAAAGCATAGCAATTAACAATCTGAAACAAAGCAACCCCATTGAATAACGAGAAACAGCCTAAGAATATACTCAGCAACAAACTCGAAGATGTATCAACGAACACCTCTGAGAACAAAGAACACCTCTGTCTATATGAATAAAGAAAGAATGAATATCACTGATCACTAAAGTGCTCCCCATACTTTAACATTCATCTTTTTAATTGCCCCAAAAACCGGACTGAATTTATCCTAATAAACCTGCGGCTTTTGGCCAGCCGAAGTTCCAAAGACTCGGGTCAAGCTGTCATGGCGCGCCCCTTCGGGAAATAAAAAAGAACAACATCACTAACGTGCAACTGGATCCAATTCTCTAAACTGCAGTTTGTCCGACTCCCTTCCCACCCAGGCCTTGTAGTGCTCCTTGTGCATGGTCCTGTCGTCGAACTTGGCTTTGATCTTGGCCCCCGCCGGTACCAGGTCTGGTCGCTTGGCGAAGTGCACGTCTGACCTCTTGGCCGGGTAGTCGTACATGTACTGGCTTTGACCTTCCACTTTGGTCGAGCCAGGGCGGTAAGTGTTGTCAGCCTGCAAATCATTTTGACATTTTAAGGATCCCAGAAGGATCTTGTTAACTATCCCCCAGCCACCCCCCCCCCATTTCGATTTTCAGAAATTCAACTTAATAAGCCAATATATTTAATTAAAACTTTTTATGTTTTATTATATAAATAGTGAGTAATACAAATACGAACGCGCGAAAATGAAAACCCTATAACTTTTTGACTTCTTTGAAATGCATATTTTATAGAGAAATGATTGTCAAAAATAAAACATGCATAGGGGGAAATAGTTAACATGGTCCAAAGGGGGAGAATAGTTAACAAGATCCTTCCAGAATCATCAGAATTTTTTTTGTTTTTACACTTCAACTAAGATGTGAAACTGTTAGTTAGACTTATTGCAGGGAATTTAACAAAAGTATGGGCAAGGGTTAAGCGAACAGAACCTCATAGCTCAAATTGGCCCTCAAATTATTTTTTTAAATATTGAAATAAGGTTGGACACAGAATAAAACATTTAATTTAATAAAATAAACAAAACGCCCATTAGATATGCCAAATTAGCATTTGAGCCAGCCTCTTGAATATAATCTCTTTTGAATATAATCAACCCAAGATCACCGAATCAATATTTCACTCCTTTTTTATTGAGCGGTAGCGACGTAAAAGCTTTACAAGCATGAGAAACAGGCGAAGCGGAACTTGGCACCATTTGCCACACCAAAAATGAAACGCAAGCCATTGAGTTGATTGAAAGAACCTACAATGAATAAAATTGTCGAGAAAACTACATGTAAAAAAAACTTCATGTATGTGTTTCGAATGATGTTTAATTTGAGGAAACCATGCCGAAAAAAATTATCATCATTAATTAAACATAAAAGAAAATTTATCAAGCGGCAATGAAGCCGACAAAAGTTGAGTAGACGCCAGCTGAAACGAAAAACGAACTGTTGTCATAAAAAATGTTTGACCTCCAAAGATTTGAATATCCACACATTCGGCAAGCACAAAAAGATAGAAAATCTATTGTTCTTCCAAAGAACGCAATATTAGGTGACAAAGCTGATATAATATAAGCCGAAAACATTTAAACCGAATAAACTTTTTAAGCCAAAAAATTTTCACAAATAATTCACATAAAATCAGCGCTGGTAAATTTAAAAATCACAGGAATAAATCAAAAGTACACTTACTTATAATGAAAATTACTCCAATCATTAAAATGTCCCTGACATAGAAATTACTGCTAGACCAATTTTGCCGACGAAGACGAAGAGGATTTTGAATTTTTATTAGTCAAACATTCGAAATGATTCAATAATTCTGTTAGATAATTTGTTTGCCTGAAAAAAACCTATAACCTGTTTAGGTAATATAATCGCAAAAGCGTAGAAACGCAAAATAATCCTTTTTTCTATAATTTCATCGAAATCGTCAAAAAAGTGACTCAATAAGAATGTCTTTTCAATTACATGAGAAGATGGAAGATATAATGATAAAATATAGAACAAACCGTTCACAAGAATGCAGCTGAAAAATAATAACGTCTAAAAAGGACTATAAAAACGGATGAAGAATATTATCAGATTGTTGCAACAAATAGGAGCCTCAATATTAAAAAAATCGGGAAAACTTGACTTATAATTTGAGTTTTGTAAATTTCTGTAAAGGCTCAGGTTTTTTTTTCATTTCCTCAATCAGGCAAATTTATTACGATAAATTAATTCACGCTGTCCAATTGTAATTGAGAATAGGCTAACAGGTCAAAACTAGGATTACCAGGTGCTTACTTTTTTGACTAATTCGATCGGATGCACCGGTTTCGGCACAAAATCCATCGCAGTTTGAGTGACAAAATCTCCCCTGGGCGGATGCGAGTCTCTAGGGGTGAGAAAAGGTCGTCTGCTGGCCCTAAGGGGGTAGTTGTAGTGGGCTTTGTATGTCCTCTCGTAGTCAGTTTCTAAGTCCTCCGGGGCCCATTGCCTCTCATCTTTACCATTCAAACCCTTCCTTCTGTCATACTGCTTCTTAAGTCCAAATCGCCTGGAAGCAAAATTGAGTAGAGGTGAAATGTAGGTTGGTATCATTTCCAATGCAAAAAAAAAAGAAAACAAAAAGCGGCCAAAAATTTTGGGTGATATATTGTAATAAGTTGCAGATTCAAGTAAAATAGCTCATTAACACTTGTGTTGTACTCAAATAGTTATCAAAATTACCATCTACTGTAACATATCACGAATTTTTGGATTTAAAACATGTATTATACTCAAATAGTTATCAAAATTACCATCTACTGTAACATATCACGAACTGTTGGATATAAAAAACTACAATTAAAACCTAATTTGAATGTTAAATTTCGATGGAAAAGTTTCCTCAAATAGTTCCAATGATAATTGTGAATTCAGCCTGAGAAATGACCGAGAAAAAATAAGAAAAAATCTATAAAAACAAACAAGACTGCTCGTTTCAGGGCGAAGCCGTGAGAGTTCCGACTGCTTTTTAAGGTCTATGGAGCAATAAATAACATGAAAAAATTTCATGTATAAAATAAAATGTTCCAAAAATTTGAAATTTGAGATTTTTTTAAAAAAAAAAATCATCCCCCTACACGCCATATAAAGTACAGAGTGATAAATTCCGCTCCTAGTAACAAATCAATTATGGCAAATAAGCTTCCTTCAACCAATTTGGAACGATTTCTAAGGCGGATTAACTCTCCGCTTACGCGTTAATAGCGCGAAATATATCGCGCGTTAATTGTCCCAAATTGGCCAAAATGGCAATCAATAAACCCCCGTAACTTTACGAAAAATGATCACAGGTGAAATATCTTTTCAAATTTGAGCTCAGGACAACAATAGCTTTCGAATGATATTAAAAAATTCCGTCAAAAATGGCTTGTTAAAAAGTCGAAATTTGCCTGAAGAAAAAAAAACCCACCCCGAGCACAAATATTCCGTTACTTTCAGTACGAAAGTCGGAACAAAATAAAAATACACGAACCAAGAGAAGCGTAGCTTCAAACCATCTGCCTTACAAAAATTTATTCTATATAAGCTACATTAGCATTGGACTCAAAGCTCCCTTCATAGCTTTTTGGTGTATAAGAGTAATATAAAAATATTTAAAATAAAAAAAATTAATTTGGAGATAATCATCACACAAGAAATTTCACAAACCTCATGCAGCTCAAATAGCCTCACTATCATATGAATCAATCAAAATGACTTTAGACAGTAAAAATTGCTAAATCCGATCAAAAATCCATGCTGCGGAAACTTAGCCGAGAAAATTTAAACAGACAAACTATAGCCGGACAACTACCATTTTCCAAGCACAAAATGTTCAAGTTCCAAAAAGTAAGGCTCGTGAATAGACTCGAATCTCAAAGCACTTAAATATGAGAATAGGGGACCACAGAGGATTCAGAAATTAGTCAGAAGACTACCTTGCTGTAAGCTAGCCTGAAAAACCAAAATTTTCGGAGCGGTTTTTTCTCGGAACATCTTTTGGAAATCGAGTCATGTCTGAAAGGGATTTAATCTGATATCCCAGTTAGCTCTGACAAATTTTTTGGAGACACCTACAACCCTGGAAAAACTGAGTTTGAATAGAACTTAAAAAGAATCCAAAACCTTAGAAATTAAATTTCCGCGTGAACAAAATTTAAGATTGAAAATTTACTCCAATAATAAACATTTTTGTTTGCTTAACTCCGCTGATTGATAAAATTGAATTTTAAAAAGTACATGAATTCGTTCTGTAAAGTGATTCGCAATTTTGAAGCTAGTAAGGTGAGGCGGTTATGCAGGCTTACAAAAGGTTATTTATGTTCAATTAAAGCCTTAAAAATTTTACACGAAACAAGTTAGTTTTTGTAGTTTTTTAGCGCCAAATTGGGAATTAAGAACTCCAAAATTCAAAACTTTTTGCAAAAAAAACTTGAAAGTTTTTTGGACTTTTTAACAATTTTGCTTAGTTTTTCTAGTCATTTTTCTACAAAAGCTGATTTCCAATTGGGCTATGTTACTATGAGTGTCGAATATACCTAACTTCTACTTTTCGTTTTTTTATCACACCACACAGATACTTCATTCTGCCATGCAGCAAAAACGACACTAATTTGAAAAGAAAAAATTTTTTTAATATTTTTTTTAGAGTACGATCGGAACATTCTGTGCTACTTGCTCAGTAACCGGCTATCCTTGTTTGCAATATCCACCCGATTTCATGATTACATGACTATTAAGAAAAATTTTTAAAATATTAAGAAATGATTACATGACTAAAAGGAAATTAATGCACCAGATTCCATTTCACGATATGGTTCTAACAATTCTCAAAACATAGGATCAAAAAATTTAGGCAAAACCTTAACAACCTTAAGTTGAATTAATCAAAATCGTTGAATTAACCTTTTTTTAAAATGAGACAATCAATAGCGTAGAGAGGTTGTGTTAAATCCAATGCCCAAACAAAGTGCAAAAAAATATCCAGACTTTTCCAGGTATTTTAAATATTATCCACAAATTTAATTGTTGTTCAAATTAAGGTATTCTTCAAAAATGACTCCAAAATTAGTCCAAATCAAATTAAATGTCTGTTTATATTTGCAGCTTTTTTTCCCTTGTTTACTTGACATAGCCTATAATTAAAAATCAACTGAGTGAAAAAATTGGCCATTGGGCATTTTTAGGGAACATGAGAAAATGAATTGATGCCTAAGTTAATGTTAATGGTGCTTGTAAGGATAGCGAAAAGGCTAATGATGCGTGAAATTTGATAGATTAATGTTTACATGCATTAATAGGCTGTCACAAAAATGAGGAAAGTTATCTTTTCAATGCCTCGGAATTCTCTTGAATTTTAACAGGAACTGGGGTCTAATTTCCACACCTAACCTCCGATTCATCTCCAACAAAGAATTATTCTCCCAAGGCGGGGAAAATCAAAACCCCTCCTTTAAAAGCACCAACATTACTATTATATTTTAAAAGAAAACACGACAAAAGAAAACTCAACACTTCAAAACTCGGAAAAAGTAAATAAAAAATATATTCAAATAAAATACGAATGAAATTTATACAATCCAGACTATGAAAAGAAAAGGTGTTCACAATTTTTTATTTTAACAGCGAGAAGAGTAAGTTAAGAGCGTGAACAAAAGAATATTTTGCACTTGTCGAGGCTTCCAACTTCCGGTGACAAGGAAAAACAAAGAGGCCTTTTATCAATAGGGAAATGCCTCCCACCAACTCAGGAACAAGTTACAAGAAAGAAATTTGACTTCAAAATAATTTTTGAAATGAAAAAAATAAATTGAACTTCAAACTGGTCTGTATTTCAATACCGGGCCAGACGGCGAATTTAGAAGCAAATCAAATCTGTCAGACCCTTGTGTACACTGACTTCAAAATATGATCACTGCAAACAAAAACCGCACCCAATTTTATTGGTGGACTTAGAATGGTGCAAGATGATTCTAAAATCTCCAGGGAAAAGTTGACAGGAGAGAGGGTCGAAAGACCCTGCCATTTCAGAATTTGACACTCAGGCCGACCAAAACGTCCCCCTTTCTAGCTATTTTAGCTCAAAAACTAATCAAAAAGCGCCTTTGGCGCCAATATACGACTTTTGAGGAAAGAACATACACCAAGAACAATCAATTTATAGATCAAAAATATTTAAAAAAAATAAAATGACAAAATTTTTGAAAAAAATGATCGACAAAATTTTCGACCATTTTTTGAAAAAAAAAGCCTGTTACCAAAATTCTAGAACCCCTTGATCAACATGCAACATCCACTTGCAGCGTTTAAGCGAGTCTTTAGTTTAGCTCGAGTGGGTTTCTCAAAGATGAATGTTCGAAGATAATGAACCATTTTCAAGATTTCGACCATAATTTTAAATGGTTTAAGTGGCAAAAATTTAAGTTTAAATGGCAAGGGTTGTGGAATTATTCAAAGCATTGCCTTGGTACAAGCAATCTTCTTTCCAATAATCTAATTGCTTCCAGTATCCGTTTATGCAAAGAAAACAATATTGTTCCGACTTTCGAAGAAAACGGAATATTTATGCTCGGTGTGGTTTTTTTCATTTAGTCATTTTTCGCCGATCAAAATAGTAGTTTTTGACAAACTTTTTTTTATATCCTATTGAAGATATCGATTTCCTGAGTTCAAATGTACAAAGATATTTCATCTCTGATTTTTTTTTGTAAAGTTCTGGGTCCAAATTGGCCCTGTTCTGGTTTAAATTATGCGCGCTTTGAAGAATCTATTCATACTGCTGAGAGGATAACGCAAACTATTTATGTGTGGAGGATTATCCCGCAGAACAAAATCGTTCCAAGTGAATTGAGGCTAGGTAATCCGATTGGCGTATTAATTTCGTACGAATCTACTTTTCACACTTTGATATTGTCCAAAATTTATAAGTTTTCAATTTTTTCGTTTCCCAAAAACTATTCGATATGAATTAAGGGACAGTCGTAACATTCAGGGTTTTGTCCTGATATATGAGCAGTCATGTAAAATTCAACGATTGATTTCTTTTGCGCAGAAACGGAGCCTCACCGCACACCAAACAGATCCAAAAGATAATAATCAAAGGCTAAAAAATATTCCAAACTTTCAAACCTACAGTAATCACAAAAAGTTCTCAAACAAACAAACAATTCAAACAAGGATAGCCGGTTACTGTGCAAGTAGGACAGAATGTTCCGACCATAGTCTTTAAAAATTACAAGAAAAAGCTTTTTTCTTTCGATTTAATTTTTTCTGCGTAGAGTGCTAAAAAAAAGTCTAATGTAAAAGCATGATTCAGGCATATTTGAAATTCATAGTAATATAGGCAAATTAGACACAAACTTTGTTTTTAGAAAATTGACCGGAAAAACAAAAACTTCAAAAAAAATTTCAAATTTTTTCAGAAAATTTTCCAATTTTTTGAAGTTTTTTTGTTCCCAAAATGGAGCTAGAAAACTCCAAAAACTAATTTTACTTGCAAAAGTTAAGTTTTTAGGGCTTAATATTTGCCTAATTAGGCTGTTGTAAAGCTGATCACTCGCTTTATGTGCTCGAAATTAGACGAAAAATCCAACATTTCACACTAGAAAATATTTTCGGGAATTTTTTAACGTGGTTCGAATCACGACCGAAAAAGCTTTTATATGATTTATCACTCAAACCTGTCTCATGATTAGTTATGGTACCTGATTTTGCGTGAAAAACAAAAAAAAATTGAAACAGTCCCAAATACAAAGTTCCTCCCCATTTTCAACGGTCAGAACAAAAAATTCATTCAAAAACCCACCCCAAAAATATCACGGAAAAACTTAATGGTATTCCTAACTTAAACAAATGAATTAAAAAGGTTTCTAATGGTTGCTTTCCTGTGACTAAAAACGAATAAAATAAGAGCTCGAAGAAAAAAATAGTTAAGAAAACGTCACTCAAATAATATGTTAATTAAAATTTAATGCTGCAAAATTTCTTGAAACAAGACAACAGGAGCAAAAGGAAAATTTTCTTAAGCTTGAAACTAAATCGATACTAAATGAGCAGATTCCGTCATTTCAGCTAATTGGTTTGAAAAAAACACCCAAAAACAATTTTGAAAAAATTTTAAAAAATATTTTCAAATAAATTTATCAAAACATGCAGAGAAAAGCGAAATGTAAAACAAACAGTTAACATTCTACAAGCAGTTGAAATAAAACAAAGGTTTGTCATGAATAACAATGAAACAAAAATTGAAGAAGAAAATGAATGATTACAAAAACTGTGAGGCAGAATTTGGCTTGTTTTTTTTTAATATAAAATATGGGTTTCAAAATTCACAAATAAAATGATATTCTCAAATCAAACAAATATAGACAATAATATACAATTTAGAATCAAAGAAATTGAAAAAAGTAGAAAAGGCAAAAGACAAGGACCAAAAATTGCACTTTAAAACAATTATGAGAAAAATCAAGCGTACATAAACAAAAACGATTGAATCGAAAAAAATGTTTATGGTGCTTCAATTCGAAAACTTTTATAGCGTGTATCCCAAAATGGTTTTGTTCCCAAAATGGAGCTCCAAAACTCCAATAACTAATTTTACTTGCTGAAAGTTAAGTTTTTAGGGCTTAAATTTTGCTAACTAAGCTTTTTAAAGGTTTATGGCAAAGATAAATCTGTTCGGAATTTTGTGTGCTATTTTGCACAGCAACTGACTTTTTTTTCAAAAACTTTTTCGATCATGAGAAATTTCGGCACACTGAAGAATATGTTAAATTTAAACGGACCGGAATTGAATCGGCTTTAGGGATAGGAAGAGATGTGAAACCTGTAGAAGTATGAATTTAGCTTGCTTTAGTAAATAATATCAGCTAACATAACATAGACAAAATATTTTAATTGCATTATTATTTCTTTTAGTGCAAAAAGTGTCAATATTGGTGGATTTTGTTCCTAAAGCGAAAAATTGAAACCATTTTTTTTCGATACTAATAATAAGCATCTCAAATTATAAGTGAAAGGTATTAATTATAAAAGCTTAATCAATCAAATCTGACTTTTTGAGTGAACTGATTTTGCACGAAAAAAAAACAAAAACTTCCCCCTCACTTTCAGTGTTCGGAATAAAAAAAATGGCCATTAAGGCTTGGCATGACAAAATTGTTCTCAATTATCCGCCAAGAACCAATTCATCACTGAAAAATTCAATTGATACCGATAACTGACCAGCTAAGGAAGTAATCACTACATTTGCGCACTTCCTATACATTTAAATGACCAATCACAGCCCAGTTTTTTACGCCTATAATCTCATCAAAATAAGAAGGATAATTTTAAGAGGATTATTTTTATTTTCTGCCACCTTTCAATTAGCTGTTACTTTCTAGACCAGTAAAAATCATCACAAAATTTGGTCCCAGTCAACAGTTGATAGCTCGAAAACTTAAGAATTATACTCCACATTTTCCTGTTTTTTCATTTAGTTCCAATCATAAAAAAAAATCAAAATTATTTTGAATTTATTTTTGCTTCAAATAAAATTCTAATAATTTAGAAACTAAAACGAATAGCGCTTTTCTGATCATAATTTAACTGCCAACTATATTCAAGTATTTACAAAAATTCTTATCTAAAATTTAGATACAACCAAGTGTTATTTGTTCATCCCAAAAAAATAACACAGACATGGCAGATGTTCCGCCCTTTTCCTTCAACCCCGAACAAACTGCCTGTATATGCCACGTGATGGAAATTTCCAACGAGATGACGAAACTTGAAAAGTTTATGTGGAATATTCCAGCTTTGGACATGTTCCAGCAAAACGAAAGCGTCATTAGAGCGAAAGCTCATTTAGCCTACAACGACCAACAGTACAAGGAAGTCTACCGATTGATTCAGAGTTCCAACTTCATAATTCAACACCACAATTCACTTCAACAATTATGGCTGAACGCTCATTACGCCGAAGCAGAAAATAGCCGAAACAAGTCGTTGGGCGCTGTCGGAAAATACCGAATAAGGAGGAAGTTTCCGCTGCCGAGAACTATTTGGGACGGCGAGGAGACTTCGTATTGCTTCAAGGAGAAATCGAGAAACATGCTTCGAGAATACTACCAACACAACCCCTACCCTTCCCCGCGTGAGAAGCGGGATTTGGCAGAAAATACAGATTTGTCAGTGACTCAAGTTTCGAATTGGTTCAAAAATCGAAGACAAAGAGACAGAGCTTTAGAAAATCGAACATAAATTTAACCTGAATAACACTTCAAATCAAACTTTACCTCAGAAAGAAATTTGCATCTAAATTTACAGAAGCTGTAAATATTTTGTATAACATACAACTTATTTTTGTGTATAACCATTTAAGCGCATCAATTTATAATTGTTCAAGATTAAAGAGCAATATTTCACAATGAGTCAAAGCGAGGCACTTACCAAACGGGAAGCTTATGAAATAAAGTTATGAAATGGGAAGCTTATGATTTAAAGATTTTGAAATAAAATTAAAAGAAAATTTTCTTCAAACTCCATTTTTTTTGGAAATTCTTGTAAAAACAGAAATAAAGATGAACTAAAATCGATTCCCTCCCTATAAGATTGCAAAAAGCTGATAATGACGAATTCAAACCAGCTTACAGAAAAAAGTACAATTTTCGACCTCATATAATTTAAAAACGTTGTTGAGAAACTTATTCAAATAGAAACAAGACTGCTCGTATCAGGGCGAAGCTCTGAATGTTCCGACTGCCTTTTAAGGTTTATGGAGCAGTAATAACCTTAAAAAATTCAATGAAATAAAACAAAATGAAAAAAAAATTTTCTAAAATTTGAAATTTTTTAATGAAAATCATCCCCCCACACGCCATTTAAAGTACAAAAGGATAGATTTCGCTCCTTGTAACAAATCAATTATGGCCAATAAGCTTCTTAAACCAATTTGGAACGAGTTCTAAGACGGATTAACTCTCCGCTTATCCGCTTACGCGTTAATAGCGCGAAATATATCGCGCGTTAATTGTCCCAAATTGGCAAAAATGGCAATCTTTAAACCCCCGTAACTTGACAAAAATTGATCACAGGTGAAATATCTTTTCAAATTTGAGCTTAGGGCAAGAATAGCTTTCGAATGATATAAAAAAAAATCCGTCAAAAATGGCTTGTTAAAAAGTCGAAGTTTGTCTGAAGAAAAAAAACCCACCCCGAGCACAAATATTCCGTTACTTTCGTATCAAAAGTCTCAACAATGATATATGTGAAATTTTGTTTATTTTTTATCCCATAACAGCCAACATCAATCGTAAAATTTATATTAACTATTCTTAATATGAGATGAATCGCGCTTTTATGATCTCAAATTGATAAATTTTAAACCGCCATAACTTTACAACAATAGATTGCAGGTGAAATTTCTAATGAATTTTCAGCTTAGGGCATCAGATAAAAAAAAATGGCTAGTTAAAAATCAATGTTTGTCTGAAAAAAAACAACCCCAGCTGAGATATAGTATCACGCATTATCTACGCAGCTTTAATAAGTTTTGTTGATAACATTATAGTTAAACAAAACTGAACAAAATTATATGGTTGTTGAACAAGTATCACAGAAAGTTCAGACCACTCTTAATATTGCAAAAAAAATTAACTTCATAGATGAATTTTTTTTTGATTTTTTGAATATTTTTGTGCGTGTGGTGGGCGAGAAAAAAACTAGCTCGAAACTAAACTACTATTGCTGTTAATGATAAACCATGTACTTTATCGACAAATTTACTTCGATACTTCATCAAAAAGCAAATATTCAAAATGGTTTTATCGACACTGAGGAAATTTCAAAATGGTTTTATCGACACTGAGGAACATACCCAAACAAAGTTCCTTTTCACGTGGCCGGAACAAATAATTCAATGCAGCAATAACAATGCAGCAAAAACACAAAAGAACAAAAACAGTCGGTTAATTTTGCAAAAAGAAATCTTAAAAATTGAACAGTGGAAGCAAAATACATACCTTCATTGATCGAATCATGTCTCGCAGACCTTCAATTTAATGCATCACTAGGCTTGATAGTACATTTATACATTAAGCCTAAATTTCCTTGAAAAAAAACAAGTGAAGCATGAAAAAATTCATCAGAAAAAAATTTATTTCATGCCAAAATTAGCCATGAAACACAGGGAAACTTACAAGCCTTGAAACACAAACTGCACAAAATGTTGTCTATAGAATTGAATAATCTGCCTTGTTGATCTACGTTTTAATCGATTTTGTAAATTGTTGACAACAATGGTTTATTTTGGGTCCACTTTAGAGCCTTTTTAAAAATACTCCATGAAAAAAGAAAGCAGTGCAGAAAAAAGTGCGGCAAAAAGTTTTAAAAAAGTTACAATAAAAACGTATATTAAAATTCGGACCATAAGTATATATCGCACAACTTTTTAAGCCCGTTCAGAAAAGTGATCAACTCAGAATAATTTTAATCTTACTTTTTCAAAATCCTACAGCAAACTAATTATCGCCAGCAGCTCATTGAGTTTACAAAAATGTAGACCGGAAACAAAGCAGGAAAGATATGAGGCAAAAACTTGAACAACTCTAGGTCGAATAAACAAAGCGGCAAAATACCACAACAGGTCAGCCAGAAAAACCAGCTTAAGTGAATTAGGAAAGTGAACGTTGTCATTCCAACAAAAGATCAAAGTTAGGCATACACATTGAAGTGTATTATTTAGGAATAAAAATTAAATTACTATTTCTGGCTAATAACAAAAGTGACAATTTTTTAAAACAAAAGGTTTTTTAAGGAAAAAATTTATTGCACCCAGTTGCATTACTCTTGCTTATCAAACGGACAACAAACTTTCTGCGGATAGAGATTCATCTTTATGGTACTTTTGCAGCGATGTTCGTTACTAACGAAAAAATCATACCTCATCAACAAAATTTCAACTGAAACTTAAAAAAATCTATTTAGATTCTTCATTTATTTCACAACAGATTTGTTTGATTGGCCATCGGTGATGAATAAAATATGAATCAATTCCTCAATAACTTATATTGAGCATCGTCTATGACAAAAAATGCTTCAATATAAAATATCTTTTAATCCAATCTGACGTTTTTTCTTAAAGATACCTGAAATTAACGGGAAAAAACCTGAGGCCCATGTTCCTTTCGAACTCCGTGGTTTCAACAAAATGTAGTCGCAACAACTTATGATGCGTGAAAAATTATGACAAACATTCCAAAAACGGACCAATTTGTTCAATCACATCGGAACAGCGCAGGAACATGCTCCAGTACATATTCAACGGAGTCTGTTTTCCAGGAAGCACTATTGAATTTTGACCAAAAACACTTCAAAGAATGAGAAAAAAATGTGAGTTCAGATACAAACAAAATAAAACAACAAACGAATTTCAACCGACAACATAAGTCTATCATTCCTTGACTGCTCTAAGAGCCTTCATTTATTACAATGCAGTTGCGACGGTATAAGTGGTAAAGCACTTGAGCTTGCCTTCTACTGAGAAACAAACAAGGTCAGCATTGCTGCTCTGCAAAAAAAACAAGCTGAATAGGAGCTCTGATATTGTCCGCAACGACCGCGAAAAGGAAAGCGAAGGACTCCTTCTTGCAATGGCTACATATATCGCCTTCGCAACAACAAACTCACCCTCCCAACTTTCATTAGATTACCAGACAAAACATCATTGCTCAGCATCGAAAAATCTCCCTGAGTAACTTCTACATGCCCAGCAATCGCCCTGCCACAAAGCTTCCATATAAAACATTTATAAACCACCTGCTACTTGAGTCGGAAGGACAAGTACTCGGTGAAGCCAACGCTTATAGTCCCATCTGGAATTACAAAATTCTCGAAGGCGATAGAAGACTTCTCATATCTGACCAAAAAACGAGTTCAAAACACTTAACTCGGAAAAACAAACCCACTAACCAATTTAACAAAGTTCTGATATCGCCATTGCATCCCAGACTTTCGCCCTATCGTGCCATTGGGCACCATAAGCTACTCTACGCTCAGAAATCTATCCATCTCCGTCTCAAACGACTCTAACTCTTCAATTCGACTTAACCCCAACAAAAGATTCATAAATCTCAAAAAAGCTGATTGGGACAAATTCGCAATTTAAGTACATGAGATAATCTCTCATAAAGACAACCCTAATGATGCTAACAAAGGTGAGAGTCTTCAGGTAGGGAATCCTCCAACCAACACAGCATGGTTTTCTCTGGCTAACAACTCTGGCTATTCTCTGGAAAGTTCGCTAAAGCCTGCGTACCAGACGAAGTCAAAGATCCACTGACTCCATGGCACCCAACAAAGCTCGCCTTATTAAAAAATTAGCCAAACTTGCAATGCTAACAAGGGGAAAAATAGGGGCGAGTTCTTGACTTCCAGTAACCAGAGAACTAAGTTAAGCAAATACTGGCGCCTATCTCGCACCTTGAACGGTTCACGACCTAAAGATTCAAACCACAATATACCCATACTCTTCAGTTCGAGGTCCCTAACAAAACTTAATTCAATTGCAAACGCGCGTAAGGTTCAACTCACCGCTTTATCACTCACAAAATCTTCAAGCAGAATCGTAAGATCAAGCGAAAGACTAAATGTCTCTTAACAGATGTGCCTCAGTTTTATATTTAAAAAGTGGAGAAACGCATAAAATTGGCGCTTCCATCTCGAGCTTTCAGTCCTGAAGGACTCGCTTTAATCCAGTTGAAACATTTCAATGAAACTGCCCTAAACTACCACACTAATATCATAAAACAGTCAGACAATGTTAACTTAGTCCAATTTTATAAGTTAACTTGATCCAAGTTGTGAATAAAAAACCAGGCACACGTCAAAATTCCTTTGTTTGCTGATGTCACTTATTGATGTTAAAATTTTTTGACAAGACAAAATGTAGTACCTGGATGAAACATTTGTTGATGGCATGAGTTAAATGCCTGTGCACGAAAAAAAAACAAGTATCAATGCTTGAACGTTTTCGTCAATTAGGACATCATCACTAACTGAAAGAAAAAAACAACAAACATCCTTAACAATAAAAAAAACCACATAAAATCAGAGAATGCTTGTCCTTAAAAGCACAATTTGAGTTAACATAAAACGTTAACACAACAAGTAGATTAAAAGCGCAGCGTTAGCTGGCGCTGCTGGTACTCCTCACGCTGATTCAGTGCTGGAGCTTTCCTCGAGATGTAGATTCTGTTAAATGCCTGTATTTCATCAGACATGTTATGTTCGATGAAATGAAATTGACATTCCAAACCAAAGCTGTAAATATTTGTTTTTATAAGATTGAAAAGTGCGTTGATACTGAACCAAGCACTGGATAGATTTACGAGTTATGTCTGAAAAAATAAACCTGCGCGAGATGTTTCAATGTGCATAACTCAATGTGCATGTTAATTTGCTTTATCTGACTTTTTTTTACTGGAGGCTATAATCTACTGGAATGGTTTAATGAAAGGGAACTAAGATTAGTTTAATGGAAACGGCCAAAATATATCAAGCACCACAAAACCGTTTCGAATATTAAGAGCAATGGACATGAAACTTAATGAATAAAAGGAAACAACAACATACCTGAGCATCTCCTCGAGATCCTGTTTATCCAGTTTTCCGAGAACTTTCCGCTCTTGCGTATTAAGCCGTTCATTTGTGTCCATTTTATCTTAAAATGGCTATCACTCTCGTCATATATCTAAGGACAAGCAATCAGCGATATTAATCATGAATATCAGCTTGAATATCAAGAAGCAAGAAAAACAACAAATCAATTCAAACCAATATCAAAACTTGGCGTGGGTGGCAATTAGGTAAATTGCGCCAAAGAAAGTCTTATGTTGAAAAAAACTAGCATTCGACGGCATCTACAGTCACATAGCAAAAGTATTCCTATTTCGAGCACCAAAACTTTAATTTCAACTTTATAAATTAAGTTGCTCTGAGACAAAGTTGCTTAAAATTCGACCAGAAATTGAACGATACAACTTAATGCCAATTATGGAATCAAAATTTTTTAAAAAAAAATCAGCAAAATTTGAATTTTTTTTAAAATAGTTTTTCAAGTAATATTTCAGGAAAAAAATGATTGCCCTTTCTGCTTTTTTAATAAGACTGTCGAGTTAAGCTCATGTTTTTCGTACAGATCCTTTTATCACGCCACACAGAAAAAAACGACTCTACTTTGAAAAAATTGTTTTGCTGTATTCTGTACTGCTTGCATATTAACAGGCTATCCTTGTCATTCCGACCAATTGAAAAATGTGAAGGAATTTTAAATTCGGCTGTGTTTTACTTTTTTCTGTGATATACCATACTAAAGCCAACAACAAAAATTTTAGACAAATTGATTTAAGCTTTTTGAGGTTTGGTCTAACTTCACTCCAGTAAATTGAGCACGCAGCGCCAATTTGCGAAATTTTCAGCACAAATTTTTAAGATTTTTTTCGCTTTTCTATTCATTTTTCTGCAAAAAATTTTTTCAATTAGGCTTTTTTTTACTATTGTCGAATATGTCGTCAATAGTAAAAATGTCGTTTTTTACTATTGTCGTTCTTTTTTTTGATAAGATTTTTTTATTACACACTCAGAAAAAAACAACACTAATTCGAAAAACATTTTGCTTTCAAACTACCAAATTCTCTTCAAATGGTGAATTCCCATAGGTTCCAATATTCATAGGTTCCAAAATAAAAAATCAGTCGCATAAGTTCCAAAATTTATCTTCTTGAATTTTGATTGGTTGAAATTTGAGCCAACGAATTTATGGATTGATTGTTTACTGTCCAACCAGCATAAACTCAAGCTGCAGAATAGTGACTGACGCAGCCGCGCCAACGTGTTGCGAGCTTGCCACCAAAGGATAGAAATCTATACGAATTTTAGAGCCGGTTATCGCCGCGAAGAGGCGACGCGCGCGGAGCGCGCCCACCGCCGACCTTAAACCGAGACTCGGCTAATTTAGTCTTTTGACCAATTGAAAAGATTTGGAACTTACGCGACAGCTTTTTTTATTTTGGAACCTATGGGACTGATTTTTTTATTTTGGAACCTATGAATACGCACCTCTTCAAATAAATAGTTTTCCAAAGATAAAAATAATGATTTTGGCTGTTTCAAGGCGAATACCTTCCTCTGTTGATTTCAAAGGAAAATTAATTCTTACTTTATTTTGTGTTTTGTTTTCAGAAAATTTTGTTTCAGTGCCTCCTCCTTCGAGTTCAACGAAACCAAATTTTGGATTCTAGTTAAATAAGAAAAGACATTAAGACGACAAATGAGAGTTTAAAGATTTTCAATGAAAAATATTTTTGTTTTGTTTAAACAAATCTCATGCTTGAGAAGATGTAATTCAGTTTCAAACGAAAGTTTTCTTGAATACAATAAATTAATTTCAGAACGCTGTTCCAATTGTTTTTTGAATTTTTTAATTCTCAGTAACGGAAAACTCCTTTGCGAAACACTTGTTGTTTTTGGAATGTTTTTTAAATTTTTTTTTCACAAAGTCTCAAATTCGACAACAAAATGATTTCAAAACCAAACATGGCATTTCTTTTAAAGTAAAAAGTGTCCTAACTAAGGCATGGTACACCAAAATAAGTGAACAATGTTTGCTCTAATGTCTTTTCAATGCTTTTGTTTTTTAGATATAGATGTTTAATACTGTTTAGTGAAGACCTAATTCCATCTCTGTGACCTTTTTTATGCCAACCGTCTACGACACTGTTTTATCTGAACATTCGTATTTTTGTCTGCTTGAACAAAATAATTTGTTTTTCCATCAGCCGCACTGATTTGCTTTGGATTACGAATAACAAGATTCTATTGTGTTTTTATTTTATCTCTTGTATCTCAACTCCTTTTTAGCTTTGTTTGATTTCAATTTCAGTTGCAACAAATATTTTTCGAAGTTGAGTTTTATGCTGCGTGAGGGTCTCTTCTTGATTTGAACTTTAGAAGGAATTATTTCTGATAATTTTATGTCTTCTTGACGTGTAATTACTGTTTAGAGCTTTGTCGACTGTTTGAAGTAAAGAGAAAGAACTATGTGACTTAGGGCAGGTTTTTTTCGCACAATCTTAGGTATCACAAGCAAAGAGTGTATTGGGTCCATTGGGATTGGATCTCATAAAATTTGTTCCGAATTCGAGAAAAACTAGTCTGAATGTTTTCAGACTAAATTAGAAAGTTTGATCATGAAATCAGATTGATCACGAAATCGTTTTTTTTGGCTATTACTGCCACTCACTCCACAATTTTTTATTCAATTCTCTCGCTCGTGAGTTCCCATACGTCCCATCCTTCATAGAAACAAAAATGAAAAAACAGTTTCATAATAATTCAATTTGAATTCTGACTCACACTTGGAAGACTTAATCAACCAATTACGGTTTTCTGTAATGAATACGTATCAACCTTTTGCGCATTTATGAAATTTACGTCTCTCTCTCTCTCTCTCTCTCTCTCTCCATCTCTCTCTCTCTCTCTCTCTCTCTCTCTCTCTCTCTCTCTCTCTCTCTCTCTGGTCGATTCTCGCGCTTTCTAAAAAAATAACAGAAACTTAAGACAACATAATGAACATTATTGAAAAATTTTTGATTTTTTTATTGTAAGAATATCTCTACCGATGATTTGTTTTTCACAAATCGGTGCTGCCGGAACAATCTGTGCTACATCCATTCATCAGCTTACTTGTTATTTCTAAATGTATGTTGAGTCTTTTTCGAATATTTATGGCTTAAGTAAAGCGGAGGTTGGAAAAAGCCATTTTTCGTTAATCTAAATGATTTTTTGTTGACATCCTTCCTTTACAGATGAGTTAATGTCAAGGGATAATACTTTTTTCTCTGCTCCTCGGACAGGGGCGTTTGGACGTTCTCCAAGTCAACATGGCTCTATAGTTCTTCCCCCACTCAACAGTCAAGATCTCGAAAAGAAGCTGCGCGACAGACTTGTTAATATTCCATCAGAAAAGCCATGGAGCAACACTAATGCTCTGAAGTTCGATGGACCTTATACACCTGCGCAGACGAAAACACGAGCCGTTCCTGCTGCACCTCGGCTAGAACCTTTGGTGAATAGAATTTGATACTAACTATGCTTTGCTGACATAAACTTCTATTGCAATATTTATTTCTGGTATTTCAGCCAAACTTAGCATCATTTCAACATCAGAATAAACCCGAATATAAGCAAAAGAAAGCCTATGATGCACTTATTGCCAGTGGCTATCAACCTCCTGAGAAGAAGAAGCGCTCTGATTTCAAATCGGATCTTGATCATGCCGCAGATGAAAAACATGAGAGAGAACGAGTAAGTTTTGTTCTGATCTATTTTTCTGCTATAAGAATCGGCTCTTGTCCATCCACTCTTGACTCCATGAATTGTTTTTCAATGCTTGATTACCTTTAGTTATTGAGTTGGGGAATTTCCTAGGAGTAGATCAATTGCTTAAGGGAGATTTTGAGCTTTTACGAAGTGTTTCTTTATAGGAGTTGCAAGCTCAAATGTTCGACGAAGGCGTCGAAATCTACCGCTACGTTAAACTGCCCCGCCGTGGCTCTGTCCTTGATAACATGCGAAAAGTACCGCCTACTACCATCCACGTCGATAAAGGAATTGAGGGCATCAAAGCTGGCGTGTGGGATCCAGCAGACTTGGTTGACTTTATAATGGCACACCCCAAAGTTGGCTTTTTCTACATGATGCCAGCTGCCAAGACGGCTTCCATTGATTACAGTCCCTACTATCTCAAGTAATTTATTGTTCCGACTTTCGATACGAAAGTAACGGAATATTTGTGCTCGGGGTGGGTTTTTTTTCTCCAGACAAATTTCGACTTTTTAACTAGCTATTTTTGACAGAATTTTTAAATATCATTCGAAAGGTATTGTTGTCCTGAGCTTAAATTTGAAAAGATATTTTACCTTTGATCATTTTTTGTAAAGTTATGGGGGTTTAAAGATTGTCATTTTGGCCAATTTGGGACAATTAACGCGCGATATATTTAGCGCTATTAACGCGTAAGCGAGATTTAATCTGTCTTAGAAATCGTTCCAAATTGGTTCAATGAAGCTTATATGCAATAGTTGATTTGTTAATAGGAGCAAAATTTATCACTTTGTACTTAATATGACGTGTGGGGGGATGTTTTACAAAAAATCTCAATTTAAAAAAAAAACATTTATTTTATTTTTTACCTTTAAACTTTTATGTTACTTCTGCTCTATAGACCTTAAAAGGCAGTCGGAACATTCAGGGCTTCGCCCTGATACGAGCAGTCTTGTTTCATTTCTGTTTTCATTTTTTTAAAATTCTTTTATAAAATCGTTTTTGAGCGGAATCCATGAATCTATATAGAAGCACAGACAAAACTTAGTTATCACTTAAATTATTAGATCGAGCATTGATTTGATCTTGTCTATTTATGAAAATTTTTGCGACTGTTTCAGGCTTGTGACTCACAGCAACCTTCGTGAGGATGACTACAGTGTCATTTCTCCTCAGGGAATCACCCGAGTCAGAGACGGCGAGGCCGAATTCACAGAGATCACTCGCTGGCAACGAGAGTACCATTATTACAAGAAACTAGTCAAGGTCATTTAAATTATTACTAATTAAATTTAATATTCTTAATTAAGCATTAGACTTAAATTATATAGTAAATTATATAGACCAATATACTTCCGCGCCCGCTTCATTTTACTGTTTTCTATTATAACGGTCTATTCACTAACTGTTTTCTATAAAAAAAGACGATCATTGATAATTTCAGATCCCAACTTTCGCCCTTTTCCGCAAGTGGAAGGCATTCTCAGTATGGCGCAAAAACGTGCGCGCCAAGAAACTAGTCAAGAGCAAAAAAGCACTCGAGGAGAATCTGTTTATACTCAACGCAGCTTTGCGCCCCGCTTTGCTAAATGTGCGCGAACTCTGTTTCCGAATCAGTGACATGGGGCTGTGTAAGATCGAGACCTCGAGGACTTACACCCTGGATGACTTCAGAATGGCACAGTATCATCAGCTTAAAGAAGTCATGAGCAGGTCAATAAAGCTTTGTATTCCTGTGATAATCAGTTTTTTTCGAAACTCTAGGCAACAATTTGATATCACTGGCAACAATTTGATATCACTGGAAGCTGCGGATTTAAAGTATCTTTTTTGAATCTTCGTTTGCTTGTTGAGTGAGATTGAATTTCTCTTCATCTTTTGCTTCATCTTTTTGAATAATGTTAGAACTGTTGTTTTTGTGAAGTTTTTGAAGTTAGTTTTGGTTTTGATATTTTTCGAGCAAATTTTAGGCTAGATTTGGGTGGAATGTAGACTAATCCAAAGCATTGTAGCTGCTGTAATAAAAACTTCTAAAGTCTTTTCTGATTTTCTGGCATCTGCTGTAAATTGTTATGTTCTTTAGACTATCCGAATTCCGTGAACTGGTGAAAGAAGTTATCCGGTCTGCGTGTAGAACTGCACTTCTGGAACAGGGCTTCACCCCGGATGACTACTTCAATGACCCAGAAACTGACGGAGACGTGGTGCCTGGAACTGCCTCCAGCTACATGCACAACGACATGGGCGAGACCGGGGATGCTCAGGAGAAGATGACCTATACTGAACAGGCGAACAAAAGAGCACATTGCAGACGATTCACAAAGTAAGAACGAAAAAAAGTATCCACCTCTCAATTGAAAGATCGGTGGATCGAGGCCCACCATTATCCGAGCTTGTTGTCTTAGGATGAGATTACATTTCTCAGCCTTCAAAAATAACCAAAAGTGTATGTAGTTCTTAATCTACGACACAACAGCGTTTTTAATTAAGACCGGAACAGTTCGTTTGTTTTTTCTGTCCCAGAGGTCATAAACAATGGAGTCTGTTTTTTTTTTCTGTTATGTTGAGCTTAAACCAGGCATTATTGCCAACCAATACGACATCTTGAACAAGAGTTCTCCGCTGTCTTCTGTTTTTGGCAGTCTTTGCAGAATTCTGATGAAAAATGCAACTTCGTCTTCGACAACTTTTCTTATTCATTCTGAGAAAATGTCCCTACCATTTGGGCCTTCTGGACTGAATAACTGAGTTGATTGTGTTGCCCAGTTTGGACTTTTCTATCAGATCTTTAAGCACAGACTTGTTCGAGTTTTTCTAAAATTATTTCTGCGGTCATCGGTGTTTTTGGATTTTATTGTGTCTGAGACACCCGAAAACAGGCTTAATCTAGTCTTATGGCGCTCTCTCAAGTGACGTTTTTGTATAAAATTTCTGAATTTGTTATTCCGTTCTTGTAATGACTTCACTTGGAAACAATTTATTATTTTTTTTATTGTTAGAAAACACCAGATTATTGATCAAGGCGAAAGAAGAAAGCCGCTCGCCATAGTGATTTAGTTTCCCAAGATATAATTTCCCGGTATGCATATTTCGTAAGGAGGGAATCCCTAACTGCGGAAGGACTAAAAAAAAGTATGTTCGCCAATCAGAATTAAGTTTTCAAAGAATAGAAAAATAGTCTGAAAATCAATAAAATTCGACACTGAGAAAACTTTTAAATTTTATTTTGTGAATCGATCTGAAGTCTGAAGGGATTTCAATATAACACATCAAATGACCCCTACGAACTCTTTTTGTGGCAAAAAATCAACCCTGCACGATAGTTCCTTCCCACAATTAGGAGGGCGGTCGGAGCAATATATTCATCTTTTCAATTAGCTTTGATGCTATCTATGATCCACAGAATTAATACGCCAAGTACAAAGGTCAGATTTTTTTTCCCGAAATTTTCATAAAAATCTTGATAACTCAACTCTAGATCTTTTTTGTATTTTATTTGTAAATTACGATTAATTGAATTTCTCAATAAAGTGATTCTTCAGTTGTGACTTAGGGGACTTATCTGATTGTTATTGTGACGTCGGTGAAGTGGTTACGTCTCCGCCTCTCAATCGAAAGGTCGGATATTCGAGGCCCGCCATGATCTGTGCTCGTTGCTTGCGGGTGAGGCACCATTACCCAGCCCAGAAAAATAACTAAAAAAATTGCATGTAGTTCTCAAGCAGGGGCACAACAGCGGTTCGCTGTGATGAGCTCGTATTTTGGTCCTTTCCCTCGTGGATAAATGGTCTTAATCTCTTAATCTTAGTCTCAAATTGCTACTTGGTTTATGATTTGTTAGGAAAGAAAGAAGGTATTCTGTCGGACTGTTTTTGAGGCTCAGCAGCCTTTGGCAGAACTGAGATTCTCTTCACTTAAGGCATAATAGTTTGTGATAACTTAGTAATCATTTGATTGATTGTTTCAGCTTCATCCGACTGGGAGACTACCTGATAGTAAACACTATGCACATTCTGGCCATCAATTCAGTGTCCACTCTGCTGACTTATCTGAGTGAACAAGTGAAGCGCACCCCCTCCCAGGAGGAAATACAGGCCATGCAGTTGGGCATCCCTCAACAGCTCACAGAAGAGGAGGCCGAGATGACACTCGCCGAGAGGAAGGAACAGGAAAAGGTCAGTAAAAAATGAAATATGCTTATAAAAGGTTTTAAAAAAGTAAAGTTAAAGAAAATGAAATTGTCTATAACATTCCCGCTATGCAGAACCAAGTCAAACTCAACGTTTTTTTTTTCAAGACCCAGTCATTTGAAATTCATATCTGTATAGGTTGTCCAGGGCGCGTTTCGAAAAGTTTTAGGGTCTGTTGAACAAAGCCGAATGCCGTTCATTTTGTGGTCGCCCTTTTCCTGCGGAAAGGACAGAGATCCTGAATGGGAAATTCCGGCCTTACCGGTTTCTTTTGAAGCCGTTATTGTTCGCAGTAATAAATTAGTATAGTACTCATTTAATTTTGACAGACATCTTCAAGTTATCTAACATTTTTTCTTATAATTAATTTTGTTTCTTTTAATCGCCACTACTTAATTGTCGGGGCTCTCACAACGCAAATTCTACGCCGGAATTTTTTATGACAAAACTGATAACCAGCGTTTTAGAAAATCATGCCGTTTTTGAGAGCTCCAAAAAATTGTAGTCTGTATGAAATTACAGAGTTCCTACCAATTTTAATGTTCAAGAATTTTGGTGGCTCGGTTTTGGCTCAGTTTCGGATATTCATCGGAACTGATTGCAATTGCGAGAGCGAGTGTCTTGTTTGATATTGTGGGACCCCCTGATAATTTTGAGCCCTTTTTCTCAGAAATAATGGCCAACCCCAGGGTAATTTTTGATCCCCGAAAAATAAGTGCTGCATATCTGTGCTGCAAATTAAGTAACTCGAGTAATTAGCTTGAAAATAAACTTCTTTTATGTTATTTCTTTAATAATATGTGTTAATAAACTTCAGTTTTATTAACTGTTCAATTCCAGGAATCCAACTCTTCTCTGAATTCGTCCACGAATTCCAACTTGGACGAGGTCTGAAACTCTGAAGTCGCATGTCATCTTCACTTTTCCACTTTCCTTTCATTGTGTTTCTCTCTCACCTAAATATTTTTTTGCTAAGTTTTGGTAGATTTTTAACACTGCAATGTTTTGATTGTTTAATGGGTTTGTGACTTCAAAAGCAAAAGTCTACCTAAATAGTTCTACCAAAACCAGTTCAAATTGCGGCAAAATTTTTTCACAAAAGCGAATATTCAACATATATTATCAGGTCGCGGCATCATTAATGTACTAGCATAAAAGCACAGTTTTGGAGCAAACGTTCATTTTTCAGGGAGAAAATTTTTAACAATTACTTTTTTTAGGCTAGAGAGGAAGCCGAAAAGGCAGCTCAAGCCGAACGAGAAGAGGCGGGCGAAGACGATCCGAAGGAGAAAGAAGTCGTTCCGATGTTCTTTTCCGAAATGACCATGGACTCCGGCGACAAAGGTCTCATGTTCAAACCTGACCGAACAACTTTCGTTGACAGCCTGAACGAAATCATTAAGCATTTCCAGGACAGTGTTCTGTCGGTTGAGAATTTGGTGCCCGATAAGTATTTTGACGCGTTCACCAGTCCCAAAATAAACGACAGATACGAGGAAAAGTCTTGTGGCGAGGGACCCCAATTGCAAGCTATGTTTGACGACGACAAACATCTGCTAAGCATCATCGAAAGCGTCAAGGTCTGCGATTACATAACGCTGTTTCATAATTTTGTTTCATACCATCTGAATGATTCAATGCGAGTCAAAGATTTCATGAGTAACGATGATGTTTTAGGAAGCTGTAGCAACTGCGTTTGACGCTGCTTTCTTATACAAAGAGACGTTTGGACCTTTTGAGTCTTTCTATTACGAAAACGAACGCCTGGATATCGAGAAACTAGGCACCGAAGATCACGGTATGTTGCTTAATGAGTCGTACAGTGTATCATTGCGGCATTTCGCTTCATAGACATCACACCAAATAATTTTTTTTGAAAATCATAGCCGTTAAGATCCTATATCCAAAGTCAAAATGTTAACTGTCAATTTGCTCTGTGTTTAGAAGTGGAGTTCTTTGGGAAGTCGTTGGAGAAATACCACATGCAACATGCTCAGGCGATGAAGATCAAGGAAAAGAGGCCGCTTGGGATGTTGATGGTGGAGACGACAGATCTCAAGAACCTGCTTGTTCCCTCTCCACTAAGATGCCTCGATGTAAGAATCCTATTTTGGAATTTTCCGGTTTTTTAAACAATTTTACGCCCTGAGATATTTCACTTTTAGCATCTATTTAATAATGTTTTCCGCTATCACATATGTGATATATATTGGAAATTGTGTCGAAAATTGCAGTATTCCTGAAAGATAAAATAAGACCAAGTTACCACTTAGTTTCTTGACCCTTTTTTAAAGCTACCCTGCCACATTTGAGATTTTAAGTTCAATTCAAAAAACGGTTGTAGCAAGCTCATTTGCTTATTGACTACTCCCAAATTTTTCTGATACCAAAAGTTTAGACAGAAACGTCAAAATTTTGATTTTTTGACCATTTGTTTTTTGAAAACTTTTCCCGAAAACTACCCTCCCAAATCTGAGCCGTCAAATTTTTGATTTGTTGACAGTTTTTTGGACTTTTTTCACTAACTATCCTGCCGAATCTGATATCATCGGTTTAATCGAAAAAAAGGTTGTTGTTTTGTCTATGAACAGGTTAATTGGCCATGCCAAGTTTGTTTAAGAAAAAAGTTATGGCCTTCAAACAAGTCAAAATTTGAAACTTAAACCGTTAATGGAATTTTTTTTTGAATTTTCTCGAAAACTATTGTGCCAATTCTCAAATAAAGCGTTCAATCGAGAAACCCGGATTTGGGATTTTTATCTCCTCAAGCGGCCATAACCTGCTTTTTGCAGAAAAAAGTTTTTGATTTTGGAAACTCTTTTGACCGTTTCTTGAACACTTGACCATTTTTTAGAAGCTTAAATTTTCTAAAAATTTACACAATCAAATCTATGATGAAAAATTCAATTGGAAGAACCGCTTGCGACAAATGTTCCTGCAGAAGCGGTGATCCTTATTTTATTCTAAGAGATTAATGTTATCTCCTTGGGAAAATTGATTATCTCAAAATTTTATTCTCTTCTCACGTTTTTTTGCAGAAAGACAACTACGGCTTTGGGCAAAGTTCGCTTTTTGAAATCACACGTTTCGTGCCGCATCAGTATAGCAAAATGATTCAATATCAAACACGTACCTCCAGCTTTAAGTAGACCGTAGTTTTTTTTAGACATGCGCAGTTTTGGTCCATCTAGTGTTTTTTCAACAATTCGCAAGTGCTTGTATCGGGTTTTGTACGCGACAGATTTTCAATATAATGTTAATTTTTGATTTAAAAAAGTTTACTCGTTACTATTGGTGTTTCAAGAATGGAGTAGTTCATTCAAGAAAATTTCCGAGTAAAAATTGTCAATTTCAGAATACATTTCAGCAGCTCATATCTATTATAATTTTTAAAATTTAAGCAATTTATACTTTTCACAAATATCATGACCGTGATATCGCCGTTGTCTACAAAAAAAAACTATTTTTTTGTATTTTCGCCTTTTTTGTAAGATATGATTTGAATTTGATTCCGCCTAAATTGAATTGGTTTTATCAATTGGTCAATTTAATTGGTTCCATCCAAATTGAGTTGGTTCCATCAGTTGGTTTCACGTGCCTCCAGCTTTAGTTAGACCCTAGTTGTTTTTTGAGACTTGGAAATTTTGTTTCGCCTAGTTTTTTTTCAACATTTCACAAGTGTTTGTATCGGGTATTGTATGTGACAGATTTTCAATATATTGTAAACGTTTGAACGTCCGACATGCAATCGAAAAATTCTCTTTTTCTATGTTTACAAAATCTTCAAGAGAGAAAGCTGCAATTAGATTTACTTGTTGCTTTTGGTCTTTGAGAATTGAATAGTTCATTCAAGGAAATTTCCGAGTAAAATTTCAATTTAAGAATACATTTCAGCAGCTCATATCTATTATAATTTTAAAAATTTAAACAGTTTATACTTTTCGAAATTATCATGACCTTGATCTCGCCGTTGTCTAAAAAATGAACTTTAGTAGCAACAAAGCTACTGCGATGTTCGATCAATTGAATGTCAAGCTGAGAGCAAGCTGCAATCAGATTTACTTGTTACCTTTAGTGTTTGAAGAAATGAATAGTTCATTCACGAAAATTTCCGATTAAAATTCTTTAGTTTAAGAATACATTTCAGCAGCTCATATCTATTATAAACTTAAAAAATTAAACATTTTATGCTTTTCAGAAATATCATGACCGTGATCTCACCGTTGTTTGCAGAAGAATGATTTTTTTAAATTTTTCTTTTGAAGATTTGATTTGATTCCGTCTAAATTGAATTGGTTCCAGCAATCACGAATTGGATCCGCCGGTTAATCAAACTTTTGTGGTAGAGAATAGGAGCAAAAATTCTGCTGCGATTTTCGATCATTCGAGTGTCAAGCTGCAGTCAGCTTGACACAAGCTGAGAACAGGTTGCAATCAGATTTGCTCGTCATTTTGATTGTTTTAAGAATTGAATAGTTCATTCATTTAAGTTTCCGATTAAAATTCTTTAGTTTAAGAATACATTTCAGCAGCTCATATCTATTATAAACTTAAAAATTTAATCATTTTATGCTTTTCAAAAATACCATGAGCGTGATCTCGCTTTTGTCTACAAAAGATTGAATTTTAGTTTTTGATCAGGATATGATTTGATGGAACCAAAATTGATTTGGTTCCATCAAACATGAATTGGATCTGCCGGTTAATCAAAAGATTGTAGTAAAAAATGGGAGCAACAATGCTAGTGTGATATTCGTGTGATAACAATGCTAGTGCAACAATGCTATGAATTTTTCTTGACTTAGTGTCTTAGGCCCCAGCTTGCTTTTGATTTTATAATATAATTTAGTTTTTAGTATGGTTCGGTATTTAGTTCGCCAATGGAGTTTAGGCTAAAGCAAGGACCTTTCTGGGTAGATTCCTCACAGTTGACAAATTTTGTTGTAAAATTGGTCTAAATAATACAAAAAACCACTTTAAGCATATATATATGCCTCACTTTCTTTGAAAGTCAGAACAATAAATTTTTGCTCTGACAAGTTTTTGTCCTTTATAAAAAAGTAAACTCGCAAAATTGAATAACCCAAGAAGCGATTAACTCTCATAAGCGAAAAGCGATGAGAATATTGTGGTCTACATAAAATTTTTTAACCTCTTGAAATATCTTTTAAAAATAAGCCATTATGAAATGCTGGGGTATCACATGTTTTGTACAACTAATTGGAAAGAACAGTAGCTAAAATTTGAAGAGTAACAAGCGACATTTCGTAGCAGTCGATTAAGCGGGTGATACTGATTCACCCGCAGTATTTCTCTCGTGCCGGATGTAACCGAAGCGGAGCAAGCGTATTCTGCTGGCCAATGCCTTGTTACGAATTGTCGCTCGTCACGAATTGTCGCCTGTGTCGCCCTACCAGTGAGTTCATGCTTGGTGTACTTTTTTCCAGGCGTTGAATCTGGTGTTGCCGACTATTGCGCGGCAGAAGCTGGATAAGATCCTGGAGGAGGCAGACAGTGGCGTGTACAAGTTGCAGATCAGACCAGAGACCACCATAGACTACGTAGACTGTCTCACCTTCCTGGACCAGATACAAGAAAGGGTAAGTAATGAGTCATAACTAATTATGAGACAAAAAATAAATGATTCCAAGATTTTTTTTACTATGTCATAACGAGGTCAAAGACAGTTCCCAGTCAGGCTTGGATCTAGGATTTTCTCAAAAGGAGAGTTGGTTTTTCGCAAAAAAAATAGAAAATTTTGTCGACCTCTTTTTAGGTCGACCAAATTATGATTTTCTGAGCTCTGGTTTTTGGCCTCTGGTTTTTTGAAGAAAATGGCCAAATATAAAGTTTGTGAGCACTTTTGGAAAGTTATGACCAAAAAACGCGTTTTTTTTTGCTTATATTTAAGTATTTACTGGCGCGAAAGGTGCCTCAGAAATATTTTTGAATTTTTGAACAAAAAAAGATGACGTAAAATATCCCTTTCGAGACCAAGAGTCGAATCCTTTAAAGACAGTATCCAACCCCTCCATATAGACTGGAATCCGCTAAAAATGTTGGTATGGATTCCTTTATCAAGAGCTTGCAACGTATAATTATGGGCCTTTTCCGTTTTGAGGCGTCATCGCTTTTTATCGAAAAGATCAGAGGAGTTTTTTTGTTTTTGTAGATTTCACTAATTAATCTTGATTTTAATGTTATATCATATTCGCCAAGTTATGATTTAAATGTCAAAAGTAAGGATGCCGAGTTGGTGCTTGAGGAAATTTTGGCAATCCGACTCTGCGATTTTGTTTCTCAGTATGTACACATTTACTTTAGCTAAAAAAAAACAAACACGTTTTTCATTTGTTATTAGGTTGAAAACAACGAGGTATTGTAATCAATATCATCATTTAGTCGACTAAATAGTCATCATTGCTACTCGTTCTAATTATTGCTTCTATTCATTGGGAAATCTGGATCCCGGTCATTCCAATTATAACCCGCTCCCTTTAAATGATGGATCCTTATGTCATCAGCAAAATGTACGGGGATTTATTTTTTATTTATAAAAAAACCAAATTAGAAACCAGATCATTTTAAACACACCAGATTAGAATTTTCAATTTTTTTATTTTTCATCATATCAAGCGACTCAAGGCAGGCAACATTCGATAGATCAATGTTAAAAAATATTTTCAAAATTCGAATATAAAGCGTATCTTTTGTAACATTTCTGAGATCTTGTTTACTATTTTCCCTTATTGCGAAAAGGGGGGTTGTTACTAGATGCAAAATTGTATGTGCTTAACCGTTGACTGAGTTCTTTATATGGGGTGGAATTCTTGACTATAATAGCCATGATATGCCATAATAGGGGAAACTGTTAACAAAATTGTGTTTTCAGATAGACAGTTTGGACGTTGAGGCTGAGATTGTCAAGTCCATGTACAAGCTGATTGAAAAGTACGAAGTGCCCCACCCCCCCGCCGACCGAGTGTTGTTCGACACTTTAAATGGGAGCATCACTACTTTGAAGAATGCGATTGACAAGGCCGTGGGGGAGCGAGACGCCAATCTGGACCTGTTCTGCAAAGAGATCGAGAAGGATATTCTGGAGCTGAACAAAGTGGTCAAGGAGGTCAAACAGGAGTCACAGGTTAGTCTGTTTTTCAAGGTCAAATTAATTAATAATAATTCAACCCGCTTAAAGGTCAAATGAAATATTAACTAAATGCTATGAATGTCAAATGAGTTCAATTGAATTCCTGTGATTGGGTTCTTACCGGAATATAATCACTGCAAACTTACCTGAGTCGGATCGATTCTCGGCTTTCAATATAACCGATAAAAGAAAATTGTAAAAAAGTCGAAATTTGTCTGAAGTCGAAAAAAGTCGAAAATTGTAAAAAAAAAAAAAAATAAAAAAAAGTCGAAATTTGTCTGAAGTCGAAAAAAGACGAACTTTGTTACAGTCACGAACGTTTTAGAGATTTACGGTGATTTAATTTTTTCAATAAAATTTTTTAAAAAAATAAATATTTGAGTGTGCTTTAAGGATTTACACTTGGAAATTGCAGCATTGCGCAATTTGAACCACGAAACGGTAATTTAATTGGCGGTTTTTTTCTTTTCCTCCTCCTTCTCACCCGTCAACCTTGTTCACATTGTTAAATTTTTTCACCGTGCACGGGTAAAATTCGATGAGACTTCAAAATGCGACCTTTATTCAGTTTCTGAAATATTAAACACTCATTTATAACTGTTTAAAATTGCTAAATTCACCAAAACATAGAATTTTTTAGAAAAAGGGGAGGGGAGGGGTTTCATCGAAGTTAGATCAATATCATCATTATTCATTTAATGTGTCCTTTTTTCACTATCGTTTCATTCAATAGTTTAGAAACGAATTTTCATTGTCATAATCAGAAAGTCATTCTTAAATTTTTAAGATGTCTTCCAAAGTTGATATATTTTCAGGATCCAAAAATTTTGGACAAAGATGCCGACAAAGAAACGATTATTCTCAAACTGAAGAAGCTTCAGGACAAAATGATTCAGCTGCAAAACAAAGCTTACCAGTTCAAATCATACCAGAAAAACTTCAAAGTGGAGGTCACGAGATTCGAAGAACTGGAGGAAGTTTCGTCGGAGCTGAAACTGAAACAACTTTTGTGGGATTCAGTTCAAGAATGGGACGTTATGTATGCTAAATGGTTAGAAGACAGTCTCCTGGGTTTAGATGCTGAAGAAATGAATAGCAGTGTGACCAAGTTCCAGAAGTACGTGAACCAACTTGAAAAAGGTCTGCCACCGAACACGATAGTGCCAATTCTGAAAACACGTGTCGACTCTATGAAGGCCAAAATGCCCGTGATTGTTGACCTTCACAATAGGGAGTTCAAATCGAGGCATTGGGAGCAAATTCACGCGACTCTGCAGCACACGTTTAATGAGGAGAATCCGATGACACTGGGGTTCCTGATAGGAATCAATGCGTTCGAACACTCTGAGAAGCTGCAGGAGATTTCGGCCCAGGCGTCAAGTGAAGCGTCACTGGAGGCTATGCTGAAGAAGGTGGGATGATTTTGAATTAAATTTTGTTTTTGATTTTATTTGGCGCGTTTAACTATAGTTCCCAATAAGGGTTCCAGGCTCTTTTCCAGTCCCCCCCCCCCCCCCCCTGCAAACTCATTTTTGAAAACCTTATTTAACGTTGTCATAATGCAATGAAAATTGGCATGGTGAACAAATTGACAATTATGAACAGATTTGTTCTTCATACTTTACAGCGTAACGTCACGCATTTAGCCGTAATTACAGGTAAAACAAACATAAAAATCGATATTTTGAAAGGTGGGGGGGTGGAAAAGAGCCGGGTTCCAAATAGCCTATGACATCAAGTTTGGGTCTTTTCGGTTAAACAACCCCCCCCCCCCACCCAAATAATTATGAAAAATGAAAATGAAAAATGCGCCTTGAATAAATTGGGAAAACTGCAAAAGGGAATTAAACGGCAATTCAGAAAGAATTTGTGCCCTCACATTTTAAAGGGTGCCTTTTTTTTCCATATACCAAAAAATTTGATTTTTTTTCTAAATTTATTTTCTGAAAACTTTTGGGTTGTGTTCGTAATCGAACGCAAGTGACAAAGACCTTGGTTTACTCAAAGCGCTAAGGTTTGACTTGCATTATTTGTTTTTCTTCTTCAAGATTCCTGGAATTTTCTTAACGATCTTTACCAGTGGCGGATTTAGGGGGAGGGGGCGTTGCATTTTTCATCTCATCCCTCTCCCCCCCCCCCTCCCACCCGCCCTTATCTCGAGAAGTACATCCCCCTCTAGAAAATCCTAGATCCGCCCCTGATCTTTACGATATTTACGAGACAAATGTTTTTTCATTGGACAAAAATGTTTTTCCTAAATTCCATAAGGAAACGAATTCAACTGAGCAAATAAAAAACTTACCCGCGGCGAGACTCGAACTCGCAATCTTCTGGTTAGGAGCCAGACGCCTTATCCATTAGGCCACGCGGGCTTGATGACCGTGAACAGAAGTGGTATATAAACAGAGCTAGCAATTGTAACTGCCGTATAGCAGCAAAATATCTATATACATATTACGCATTTGTAGAAGGATTAACATTCGTGTGCGGCCACCAAACAGACTACATCCATTTCCTAATCGTCAGAAAGCAGACAAATTGGAAAATACTTTTCAAGCAAAATTTAGTCAAATTAAGTCGATATTTGAAAGAACACATGCAAAACAGTTTTGCTGAATGAAAATTGTCCAAAGGTTAAGATGGTGAATTCCTCCCACAGGTTCCAATATTCATAGGTTCCAAAATAAAAAATCAGTCGCATTAGTTCCAAAATTTATCTTCTTGAATTCTGATTGGTTGAAATTTCAGCCAACGAATTTATGGATCGATTGTTTACTGTTCAACCAGCATAAACTCAAGCTGCAGAATAGTGACCGCCGCAGCACCGCCAACGTGTTGCGAGCTTGCCACCAAAGGGTAGGACTAGATACGAAATTTAGAGCCGGTTATCGCCGCAAAGCGGCGACGCGCGCGTAGCGCGCCCACCGGCGACCTTAAACCGAGACTCGGCTAATTTAGTCTTTTGACCAATTGAAAAGATTTAGAATTTATGCGACTGCTTTTTTATTTTGGAACCTATGGGACTGATTTTTTATTTTGGAACCTTATGAATACGCACCGTTAAGATATTATTTTAAATTTAGCCAAAAAATTACCTAAAAAATAGAATTTTAAATGTTTGTCTGCTAATTGGCCTTTCTGTTTACTAGGTTGTCTACGTACTGCTATGTAACCATTTATTACATTGGAAAATAACGGAAGGATTTAATCCACAAGTCAAAATTTAGACTGTTACATGTTGTTCCCCCCTTTGTACTATTTTGAGATATCCATATTTGGGATGGACCCCAAAAATTTTCGACCCTTGGCGCCAATATATACTAGTTTTGAAGGGAGAGCTCGCGCCGAAAAAACGCTATTTTTTTAGTCAAAATTTTCTAAAAAGTGCCTAAAAACCCTTTTTTTGGCATGTTTTTTCAAAATTTTGCCTGCAGCGCAGAACATTTAAAAATGTGGCCAAAACAGGGTCTTTTTAGTGCTTTGCGGTCTTATGCACTAAACGGCCCAAAATCAGTATTTCTACATCTTTCTTGAACTCAAAATAAAATGGTTGAATTTGATTGGCTAATCATGTGCTCAAATTCAAACAACATGGTCCTGCATTTCAATTAAAATTCCAAGCAGATAAAATTATTGGCCGAAATAACCAAAATTAAAAAAAAAAATTTCTGCTGAAGCCATTTTGCCAAATTTTTCTCATCCAGGCAAAATTACCCAAGTTAGTTGAAAAAAAAAATAAATCTCGAAATTTTTTTAAAAATCCGCCCCTCCCCAGGGTTGTAAAATATGGTATGGCCATACTATGGTGGTATAAAATCCATTATGGATATGGGCCTCTCGCTCACAATACATTATTGCAATAATGGCAATTATGGAAAATTATGGTTAAATATGGTAAATTGATAAAAGCCATAATAAGAACAGAAACAATAAATACTCAAAAACAAAAAAATCAACGGTTTTTTTAAACAAGTTGTTCAATCGGATCTTGCTAGTATGCATGAAATGGTATTGACATTCCAATAAACATGGTTGACATGCAGAAATAATTGGGCTTCGAGATTCATTGGATTCAATTTTTTCCGATAGTCAGTGAATATACCCCGCACCAACATTAGTATAGAACAACTCAGACAACTGCTTGTTAGAAATCATTCTAAGAAAACGCGTGTGGGAAGTTAGAAGGGCTCATTTCTGAGAAATAAGAAGAAGAAGTATAAATTCAAGTCTTCTGAAAAGATAATGATACAAGTATGAAAACATGGAAAGTATCAATAGTTAAAGTTTCAAAGAAGCCTCTTACACAGCCCAACAAAGTTTTTGAAGGGTAAAACTTTCTAAAATCTTTTTAAAAGAATATAATTTTGGTTGATAGCCAAAAAAAGTCATTTTTAATCAATACAAATCAAAACTTTGGCTAAAAACAAACTTCAAACTTTTACGCAAAATTTTGAAAATTTTACCCTTCTAAAAAATTGTTTGGGCTGTGTGAGAGGCTTCTTTTGATAGAACTTTCTCACCAGTTAAATTGGTAGTTTTAGCGTAATTATTGATTGACTAAAAATTGCCAAAATGACCTATTTTGGGTATATTTTTGTTTGAAAATTTTGGGGAAAAATTGCACCAAATTAAAATTCTGGTAAAATTCTAAGCAATTTTTGTTATCTTTACTTTTTGTCTAATCTTAAGACTATTTGAGAAAAATTGCATTGAAATTTCAAATTTTGTTCGTTTTGTCCGGATAATTAAAATCAGCACAGTACTTTGGCTGATTTATTTACTCTCGATAGGTGGGGTGGGTCCGTAAAAATACACTTTCATTGATTTTACAAGGAACAAAAAGTATGTGAGTACCAACAAAAATTATGTGAACACAAAATGGATCTCTTTAACTATGCTCGCCCCCTATATTTACATACCTTTAGTGCGTTTTCCTGTAATCAGTGTTCAAATATATTTTAGGGTGAGATTCGTTACTAGGTACAAAATTCACATGTTTAACTAGGGGCGAATCTTGGATTTTTTTTGAGGGGAGCGGATTTTCAAAATTTTTTGAAAGTTTTACCGAAAGGCGGCCAAAAAAGGACTTTTTAGGATTTTTTTGGAAAATTTTGACCAAAAAATTGCGTTTTTTTGGCGCTAGCTTGCCTCTCAAAATTAGTATATTGTGGCGCCAAAGGCGCTTTTAAAAAAATTTAGGTTCAGTCAGCCAAAAATGGATATCTCAAAATATTGCAGAGGGTCGACCCTTTGGGTTGGCAGGTGTCGAATCCCTTTTGGGTCAGCAGAGGGTCGAATCCCTGAGGGGGAAGAGAGAGAGAGAGAGAGAGCGTCCTCAATCCCCCCTAAATCCGCTGGTGTGCTTAACTGTTGAGTTAGTTGATTATAGAGGTGGCAATTCGTTACTAGGTAACAGAGGGAGGGAATACTAAAAAGGATCCTACAAAATGCCATGTGAGGGATGTAAAAAAAGGAAAAGAATATTTTTTCTACCGCCACTGCTTGGCAGTTTTCCAGTTCTTTTTCTCCTCACAGGCTCTTTATAAGTCGCCCCCCCCCCCCTATCTTGATGAGTTTTCAATTTAAAACATCTGCCTAGCCGATTCACAGAATAGAGCATTTTACACGCAGCGCTTAGCAAATTTAATTAAAATTGAACGCTGGGTGGAGAATCTTAACTTGGTCTATTTGGGGGAGGTTGAGAGGGGAGGGGCGTGGTAACTTGATGCCTCAAAAGTAACCAGGTCTCTTATGAGTTAGAGGTCAATAGTTCTCATCTCGCTCTTTCAGTTTATTAAGTGTCAATGAATATCTGTCAAATCTCGAAATCGGGGTTTCGACTCCGTTACATGTCAGAAATTTCATTTTGAGCATTGGCACCTAAATAGCACTCTTTTTCCCTGATATAATGGTGACTGGTGTTTGACGATTTTCAAGCATTCATGGCACAGATTCGAAGATGTGAGATTCTTACTCTCCCTGTCGGTAGTTGGATTACGGCACAAGCGGAATATTATGTAATTTTATTATTTCGCTTTTATTTTAGAGCTTTTTAACTTTTTAGAGATTTTTCCGCTGTTTTTAGAGCAATTTTTGCCATACCGTTAATGAGTTTAATTTAACAAAAAGTAAATTGAGTCAATATAATATTCGATCAGGAGAGAATTGTTCAGAGTTAAGATGATTCAGGGAAAACATCCCCGATTTACGCTTTTGGTAAAAACCCGAAAAAAAACTTAAATAAAGACTGTCTGTAGGTAATTGCAGTGGGGGTTGAGAAATTAGACGCTCAGCAAATTAGATGGAGGCACTTAAAAGGAAATTCGACATTTTTACAAAACTGCAATTGTGAAAAAACAGACGAAAGTAAGATAGATTAAAATTGTTTGCAGACAAATTGCACGAGAAAAATAAAATTGTTTGCAGACAATAGTTAAATTCCGGTGGCGATAAAGTTTACATGTGAATTATGCATAATTTATTCAATTCAAAACTCTTCTGTAATTTTCGGGTTTGACATTTTATGTTCATTTAAAATAATTGTTTGATAGGTATTGTCATTTTATGCTCTTTTTGTATTTGTGAAACTTGACTATTAAGAAAAAATTTTGTTGGCCCTTTCCCTTTTATAGCAGTGACGTCTAAAATGCCAGATCTGTCTAATTTGCTTATCGTCTAATTTCCTAGTCCCCAATTGCAGTTAATTATCGACTCTTATATAGTCAATTGATCATGCTTGGATTTGACTTTGCTCGATTTAGAAGGAAACATCAACAGCTATTAGTTTTTGTTGCAATTTTTGAAAAAATTTGGTTGAATCATTTTTTCACCCCAGCAGTTTTTGGTAATGACGTGTACTGTTTTATTTCGGTAAAAATTTTCATAAAGATCTGAGAACTTTTTTTGGGTCTTTTTGCTTATTCCGTCCCAAATTCTTAATTTTGCGATTTTGTAATATTCAATGTATAAATGCTTAGAACAACACTGATAGCACTGGTTGATTTGCTTAATATAAATGCGATCATCTTAATTTGAAACCGACTTCACACAAGGCCGAGTTTTGAGCAGATGCGAGGGTTGTCATTTTTATTCCTGGAGGTGTTTTTTTCTAATCTGGGTAAAACTCAGGAGCGTATTTGAAAAAAGTTTTTGAGTAGTTCACCAAAAATTCTTCATTTTAGGCCAATTCGGCTTATTTATAATTCGACTTAAAATTGTGAACAAAATATTTTGAGATGGTACTGAAATTTGATTGCCTAATTTTAGCCAATCAGATTGAAGCAAAATAGTTTCAGTTCAAGATGTTGAAATTTTGATTTTTGGGCGGAATAAGTAAAAAGACCCTTTTTTTCTAGATTTCAATGGTAGTTTTTATTTCAATTCAAGCTGTTTCATTATTCAGGGAGAGATTCTAAGATTTTCTCTGGGGGAGGGGCAGATTTTTTAAAATAACTTTCGAATATTGAATTGACTTTTTTTGGGGTCGACCGCATAGAATTTCCGAGCGCCACGGGATCACTGAAAGGGACCTTGTTTATACTACAATGTCTGCACCGCAGACAAGTTTTGGCTATCTCCTCAAATTTTATACATAATGACGCTAATGGCGCAGGGAAGTTTGTTAGGATTAGTCGGGCATAAATTGTTGTCTTAAAGTAGTAACAAACGGGCACCCTTTTGATGATTGGGGAGTTAAATTCCTGAGGGGGTAAGGAGTGAGCTGTTTGCCACCCCTAGCCCAAAGAAAATTAGTCCTTTCCTTACTGTAATTCCGCGCTCTGTTTTTATCTGTTAAAGCCCCCGCCCATTAGCTTTTGAAGATTCGTAGCATGCTGAAAATTTGGCTGCCTCTCCTAGGTCGAGGACTCTTGGAAGACGACTGACTTTGTAGTTTTGAACCATCGGGACTCCAAGGATGTCTTTATCCTCGGAGGCACTGACGACATCCAGGTGCTACTGGATGACAGCATCGTGAATGTGTCTACTATTGCTTCCTCCCGTCACGTGGGTCCCATCAAGGGCAAAGTGGAGGAATGGGTTAAAAATTTAGCCCTGTTCAACGAAACTCTGGTGCGTTTACTTTCAATTTTATGGCGAAAAACGACTTAAAAATTTTAGTTCTCTGAGAAATTTTTTTTCGGCTTAAAATGTGTTTTTTTTTCTGCAGGATGAGTGGCTGAATTGCCAGCGCAACTGGCTCTACCTCGAGAGTATCTTCTCAGCCCCCGACATTGCCAGACAACTGCCAGACGAAGCCAAGATGTTCATGCAAGTTGACAAATCGTGGAAAGATGTGATGCGCAATGTGAACAAACTGCCCAACGCACTGAGGGCGGCGACCAAAGCGGGGGTTCTGGAGACGTTCCAGACGAATAATGCACTCCTGGACCAGATCCAAAAGTGCCTAGAACAATACCTGGAAACGAAGCGTGTCGGGTTCCCAAGGTCAGTGTTTCGTTCAGGTGAAAATTAGCTATTTCAATTCGTAGCAACTTATGATCCGATGTCAGAGCATTAAGTCAGGCGCGGATCTAGAATTTTTTAAGCGGATTCGAAGTTTTTTTCGACCTAAAATCAGTCAAAGAATAAATCATTGTTGATTACTATTCCAGTTTTGGTGAAACTCTCCCGCAAACAGCGAATAGCATCATTTCAATTAATACTGTTTAAATAAACTTTGAATTTATTTGACTCTTGAGAAATATGTTCTCTTTTTTCTGTCTTTCTTTTTTCTTTCTTTTGTTCTATTTTTTTCTTGTTTTTCAGGTTTTACTTCTTGTCCAACGACGAACTTCTGGAAATTCTGGCCCAGACAAGAAATCCACATGCTGTGCAGCCCCATCTGAGGAAGTGCTTCGATGCCATTGCCCTGTTGGAGTTCGGGTCGGATGCAAAGTCGCAAGGCGAAGACAGACGTAAGAAATGTTTACCGCAGTGTAATTGATTTCAAGAAATATACATATTCGTTTCGGATTTATAAATTCATAAAGTGAATTTCAAATCTTTTTATAATAATCATAATCATGATAATAATCATTATAACCCTTGCGATAAGCAAGATTATTGCAATCGCGTACTAGACTTTTTTCCGGTGAATAACTTTGTTCACAGGATGACTGAAATTTTGTTTATCTCTATTTCCGTCAACGACCAGACAGATGGAGAACAGACAATTTTTGAGCATGTCTGCATTTTAAATGCCCGTTCTGTTCAAGTTTTTTATGTTGGTTGCAAATTTGCCAACTCTGATTTCAGTATATCCGTTTTTGTTTTCGTTTTTTTTCTTTTTGTTCGTGTTTAATCTTTTGGCGTATAATATATCGGCTTATATGCCTTTTTCAGTCGTTCGAGGAGCAAAATGTTTAATTTAAGTGCTTCGAGGAGGACTTCAAAGTTTTTGAGCTTTTCAAAAAAAAGCAATTTTTTTCGACTCTACGCGTGTCTGCTCAGGAATTGCCGGCTTTTTACCGCTTTATTAGTTTTGCTTTGATGCTTATTTAACATTCAGTTGTCGGATCTTGTTAACTATATCCCCCACTATTTCGATTTTCAGAAATTCAACTTTGCGGCCACATTTTCATCAGCTTAAAACAATTTTTAGAAAATATTATTAAGAATTGCTTTCGTGGGTATTATATAAATAGTGAGTAACACAAATACGAACGCGCGAAAATGAAGACCCACTTAATTGTTGACATTTTTGAAATGCATATTTTATTCAGAATTGGTTGTCAAAAATAAAACATTCACAGGGGGAAAATAGTTAACAAGGTCCAAAAGGGGGGAAATAGTTAACCAGATCTCAGTTGTATTACTTTTTGGCATTTTCATGAAAAGAATTTTACTCAAAACAAAATCAAGACAAATATATTTTCATTACTTTTTTCTACGGCTTTCATCTCTCTTTTTTCGGTTGAGAGAGTTTTATTGCATGTAGTGCAATGTTTTGCTTCGCCATTCTTTGCAAAAATCTAAAGGTGCATTTTTTGTAGTTCCAAGATTTTGGATGTTTTGGCTAACAGTTCTTTCCGGCTCAGATGGAGAACAGTTCTTTCCGGCTCAGCTTGTGTCTGCTCAAAGATCGTCGGCTTTGTTTCCTTTTCGTAAGTTTTGTTCAGTTGTATGCATCTTACTTGTTTTGAACATTTAGGGCTCTAGCTTGCTTTGTAGGATTAAAAAATTTATTCTGCCCAATGATTTTGGCTTATATTTATTTTGCTTGTTGTCCTATTTTAAGTTGTTTAGTGGAAACGTAATTTCTATGAGCCACTCTAGAATGCACAAAATGTTTTAAAAAATTTTAATAAAAAATATAAATTTTCATGACAACATTTTCTTGTCGGTTTTTTTTTGCGCTTGATAGGTCTTGGCTTAATGGCCTCATATTGCGTCTTTCGATGAATTAAAAGTTTGTATGTGCGAGCGTGTGTGTGTGTTTTGAGTGTGAGGGGGACTTATCAACTTTTGATAAGTCTCAAGTCTTTTTGATTTTTTTCGGCTTCAAGAATTTCTGCTAGGGTGTTTTCGGTTTTGTTGCCGCTCGGTATTTTTTTCCGATGCTAATTTCACATTCTATTGTCTTGGCGTGTTTTTCAAAAGAAGCGTTTTTCATTTTGATGGATCTAGTTTTTTCGACGTTTTAGATTTTTTTTCCGGCTTAAGGGCTTTCTTGTTTTGTATCGCAAGTGTTGCGAAGCTCAGCTTCACCCCTGCATTGATTACCCTCGCGATAAGCAAGGGAAATGCAATCGGGTTCTAGACTTTTTCCCATAAACAACTTTGTCCACGGGATGACTAAAATTTAGTCATCTCCAAATGCATCTCTATTTCTACCCAAGATACAAGTCTAAGAGCTGTAATTCAAAAGCTGGTTTCAACGACTGAAGTGATAAGTTTTACAGCTAAAAAAGTTTTTAGATGTAATTTGATTTTTTGTCGGCTTTGTTGATTTCGACCCAATTTTTGTCGGCTTTCTTGCCGGGTAACAAATTCTGTAATTTTGTAGTTAGAAATAAATTCTTTGCTAGAAAATTTTTTTGCGAATAAATTTTTAGTGTTTTTCGGGTGCATGGTTTCTAATTTTTTTAAATCTAAATGTTCGTGAAACTAGTTTTAGTTTTAATTAGTTAGGTGTATTTTAGGTATGAGCAATTTTATATGAAATCGATTCAAGTTGATGGTTTAACGTATTGTTTCAATATTTCAAAAAATGATAAAATTCCAGATTGTTTTTGCAAAGTTGATTCGCTTTTTTTACAGCGGAATGTTGCAGCAAGTTCTGCACAAGTTTCTGCTGTGTAGTTGTTTCTGGTTGAGTTTTTTTGAAAAACATTTTTTTTTTACTTCCTTCTTTGGCGTTTTTTCTATCTTGTTTTTTTTTGTTATGATTTAGCTCTCTTACCGTTGTGTATAAAGTTCACGACTGATAATTTTTAATGCATGTGCGTCATTTTCATAGGTTTTAAAGTTTTTACAATTTTTCTGCAAGTAATTTTATTGTGATAATTGTTTGTATTTTTTGCGTGCATGTTTCGTTGTTTTTTGTTGTTTTGTTTGATCTTGTTTTATAGCGTATAGGGCCTTTATCCCCGATTGTTCTTGTTGGATATGCAGATTGTATACTTGCAAGATTCAATGAACCGCTTTTGAGTACACAAAGGAATTATCGTATCTCAATTTTTGACCAAAATTCAAGGTTATCAGAAAGAAATGGATGGAGTTAAGTCCAAATCCTTCTTTTATTTTGAAGGTAATTGACTTCTCTAACAGTTGCAATAATTTTTTTATGAATTTTGAGCCTACGATTTTGCGCCTTCAACAAAATTCCTTCATGTTTTTCAATTTTCGTTTAAGACACATTATCTTTTGATTTTGTGTATCGCAAGTGGTGCGAAGCTCAGCTTCGCCTCTGTGTTTAATTTGAAAGCTAGAATCATACATTTTAAAGCAAATTCGAAGGTCTGAAAATTAAAGATTTTTTTTTCATATTATAACTTTATTCAGCACTGAGGTTTTACCATTAACTATGTTCAACTAAAATGTGTATGCTTTACTTTAGTATAGGAAGTCATAATATGAACCATCTCAAAAATTATGTCCAATTTTCATAGAGTTGTTGAACAGAGTTTCGATTTTCTCGTCGAAGTATTTGGCCACATTTTCGGGTCTGCAACTCTCCATTATGTTTTCTTTTTTGTATTTCTCGTCTCTCAGCATTCTGTTGTAGTTCACACACAGAAGTCCGACCGGATTTCCTCTGGTTAAAATCAGCCAGGGTTGTTCAGATGATAGGGTTTTTTAGGTTATAATTCATTAGCTCGACGCGGTTTCAGTGGAGAATGAAAGCAAACTTGCTAAAGCCCAGTGGAAGGATTTAAGGCAAAACGATAGGCTTGCCACCTAAAAATTCCCTTTTAGCCTTATTTTCAGACTGAATTTCTGACTGGCTCCTTGGGAATGATTACTTATTTTTGAGGAGAAAATGTTCGCCAAAAATGCTGTTTTTGGTCGAAACTTTCCAAAAAATGCTTAAAATTGGCACTTCGGTAACTTTGTTGAAAAATGGTTTTTTAAAGTTTTTGGTAGAGCATGGAAAATCAATTTGGTTGACACCTAAATAGAGGTCGACAAAATTTTTGATGTTTTTCTCCTTGTTTGGAGGATGGGGGATTGGATTACGGGGCCTAAATTTTGTTTTGATGTTCTTAAATAGTTTGAGCACTGATCACATGTACGTTTTAGTGGTATGTTTGACTTTTCCGGTTCACAACTTTGTTTTAACTTAGATGTGCGGACGTGAGGTTTGCTCGCTTGCTCAATTTCTCGAAAAGTTCAAGTTTTACGAGCCTTCCTACGACTTAGTATTGTTTTTGTTTCGATGATACATTGCGTTAAAGCGGAGTTATCAGGCGGGACTTTGGAAGTTCGAATTTCAAAAAATTGTATATCTCAAAATTTGTTTGATTTTTTTTCGGCTCAAACGGCGTCTACTCGAGTATTGTCAGCTCAATTCCGGCTTCATAATTTTTTTTGTAGGATAATCAAACGCTGGTAATTGGATTTCTGGACATTTTTTTTGTTAATACGAATGAAATATTTGGTAGGTCCAGCTCTTCGCAATTTTAACATGAAAATTTTTTTTTGTGTATGTGTGCGTGTGTGTGTATGCGTGTGTGTGTGTGTGGATGTGTGTGACCGAGTGTGAAGGAGTGCTAGGGGCTATTTTGTTTCTTAAACTTCCCTTGAAAAAGAGGTGAAAAATGAGTTACGTGACTTTTGCGTTTATTTGCTGTTTATTTCGATAAGATGCTTACACAAACGGAGCGTTGTTTGATAGTACCATCCAACTTTTGTGCCATTCTGACTCGCAAATAAAAGTGCTCATTTAGTGGCACTTTTGCTATAATCACAGTCTGTTGCATTGGAAATTTCATAGCATCTGTTATCTGCTTTATTGGTGGCTAGTATTTGCTTTTATTCAAACGTCTGTTGCTCTAATTTAAATTCTAAGCTATTTTTTGGAGATTCAATGCCACAATTAGCACTAATTTGATTTATATTTGAAGACATTTTTGTTGCATTGCCTTGGCAATTTATTAGCATCTATAGCTGAATAATTTTTGGCTAGTGTTGGGAATTTTAACTGGCCGGTGGCGCAGATGCGAGAACGTGTGACCCCAAATCTCCATGTTGCTGTTTCGAATCCAAGACGTGCCAAAATTTTGCTAATTCGAGACTTGTTTCTATTTTTTTTATCTTTCAGCTTTTAGAGCTGTTTTTTTGTCGTTTTCTCGCTTGCTTTTGCAAGGCACAGCTTCACCTCTGGGTTAAAATTGAGCTTGTGCGTTTTTTATGTATTACTCGACTCATTTTTATCGAAGGAAAAAGAGCCAGTTTTTGAAGCATCGAGAAGGTT